AAACTTCTGAAGGCCCTTCTGTTGATTTAACTTAATACGGGGAGCCCCCCCCGATAACCTTTACAAGGTATACTAAAAACAAGCAGACGTATGAAACTGACATTGCCCAATGAAAACTCTCTTTTTTGAACTTACTTCACGGTCCACCGTAGATTAATATCAACAAAGCTGTTCAAAGCGTACAGGACACTAATGGTACATGCAACGAGCCATATTATGATTATTCGGCGACAGGTACGCCGGTTCAACCGACAAAAACCGATGGGCAGTTGTCATTAGTCAGTATTAGTTTCTCTTAGCTGGATTTTAATGCTCTGTGAAAAGACTTTACAGTCGTGATATTCCTGTGTGCACGAGATCGCCGTTTCTAAGTAGGACTCCTTTTGTGCTGTTTTATAGCAAAAGCCTCTAGATGAATTGTCATGGAGTGTGCGGATAAACCAAAATATTGCAGCTTTTTTTGTTCAATTGCATCTTCTTTGTAATATCCATAGGTTGACTCTATTTTCATTTGATTACTCAAGTATGTACTTTCACAACTCTGATCACACTGTTTTCTTTTGAATTAAATGTCTTATTTACCAGGCTTTTAATAAATTTGGGAACTTCTCTAACGCCATAATTATAGGCAATCTCAATGGAAGTGTGTATAAAAGTCGCGTTAAGTCCAATATTATTCCAGGTCCTCTCATGGAGACTAAGCTAAGCTTACAGCGATAGGATCCAACTCAGATGGGGGAGGGGGAAACGGCATGACGGGATATGCATTGACTATTTTCCTACTGGATGCTGTATAGTGCGACGACAAGAGAGTAATTTCGGCCGTCCCACTACCGGAGACTACCGGAGCTTATGATAGAAAAGGGACATTGTCGTGAACCACCGTCGAAAAAATCACCGGTAATCGCCGAGGGTGTGTTGAGCAAATGAAGACTGAAGTGAACACAGGCCAACACACTGTAATCCCAGAACTTTTTAGATGAAACGATTTCAGAAGAAAAAATAAACGAAGCAAGAAAACCTGAAAGAAAATGATCAAAATCGCACCCTGTACGTTTTCTATGGCCCGCTAACACTCCTTGCCGGCAAGGTCATTTTGTCCGCATGCGCGCATAATTATGAGTTCATTAGTGAAAAGGTCTAAAGGTATGGATAGAACGCAAAGCTTCGGACGACAGCACGAACTTGAAGAATGCTCTCATTCTTCAAAAACTCGAAGAATTTCAATCCTGGTTCTTTCACAGAAATTCTAGTACATCCAACCATGACGCACAATTTCGGCATACTGTAAACTGTGAAGAAAGGAGCACAAACTCTCCATGGAAAAAAAGATAATGCGGCACAGCAGACCCGGCACACAGATCGATCCTCGGTACGGTATGCGGTGCACGCACATGTAGCTCCTGCTCCATGTTCATTTACATGTACATGTATGTTCGTAGTGGAACCAGTAGTGTCAGGGATACCAGTTGCAATGTTTTCTCCGTTATTACAGCTTACGAATTTTGTTTCTCAACAGTGCCGCCAGCTGTCAGATTGTGGAATTTTTTCATGAAGCTCGAAGACACCGTTCAAAGTTTCTGCAAAATTACAAAAAATACAGATGCAAAACTGACATGGTTTAGTTATGAATGTATATTTATTACACACTAAACACAATAATAGTTTATTTTAAAAACTTTAAAAAAAGGTTGGAGTTGATCTATTATGGTTTTGTTAAACGGGCATTTTTCCACAAGCGAGAATTGATAATTGTGAAATCCTCTGCCAATTTATATGGACCTACACATGACGGCCGTTTTTTTTCTCTCTCTTTTCTTTTCTTTCTTTTTATGGCGGGGTTGCTTTCATTAAGCCAGTTCAGTATTCCAACAGCGCATACTCAGTACAAGGCTATTTGGGATTAGCTAGCTATACGCGCATGCAGTAGTTTGTCTTGAGCGTAGCCCTTAGATATCAGGAGAATTAAAAAAAAAAGATGAAAAACGCGGGATCATATGCGCATTGAGCGTGGGCGCTGCCATTAGTCACGTGAATGCGACTACAAAGTTTGAATGCGCAAATAATTGGCGTGACGATCATTCACCGACATGACTGATTGCACTTTCAGCGTTCGTCCATCCCATTCATGTGGAAATCCCTCAATTTGGTTATTGTTTGAGCGTGTAAGGTCTATGACTATAACCACTATACTCGATCGTTGACTCGTACTCTCTACATGCAAGGTGTTAGCACGGAATGATTCCTTCGGATTAATTGAGGTGTATCTTCGATGGTTTTTGTTGAATGAACTCATTTTCGGACAAGAAATTAAAAAGTACGTGGGTCGTTGTTTTCCTTACTTTCAAGGCACGTGGGCACGCACTGAATCAACATGTACATCATGTATGGGCTAGTTAACTCATTAACTCAGGGCGTTTTTGGACACATGTAGCAGTGCCTGCGTCACAAAACCCCATATGGAGGGAATCAACCCTTCGCTCAGCACATCAACGGGGGCGCAAGTGCACCTCAGCGTGACTGCTCGGCTTAAATGTCGAGACAGACTTTTCGAAATCATAGCTTCAAGCTGCAAGTATTATGTTCGAGCCAGAGTTGAAATCAAATCCTTTCATGAGCTGTGATAACCATGGCCGCCCCGCCCGCTGTGGCAGTTCAGCGCCATGCGCGTCACTAACGCGGCAATTTAGAGCTGCTCCGGCTGGAGGACTAAAAGTGCACACCTAGTGTGGAAAATCTATGGGGAAAATGAAAAATTGAAAAGTCAATAAAAATCAGAAGGTGACGTCATCATGACGTCATAACTTGGAGTATTTTATATCACGGTCTTTGTTGGATATAACTTTGATGATTATTCAAGATCGCTAAATTACCAAAATGGTCCCTTGCAATCTTGTAAAGGCAATGGGTAATAAAAACGGGGCATGTGGCCAAGTGGTTAGGGTTTGTGGCTTCCAATCATAGGGTTGGAGGTTCGAATCCAGCTGCTGGCAGTGTGTTGAGGCAAGCCTCTTCACCCCTGCTTGCCCTCTGTCCACCCAGGAGTATAAATGGGTACCAGCATTAGCTGGGGAAGCAAACTGCGATGGACTGGCATCCCATCTAGGGGGAGGGGGGATAGAAATATTCTAGGTCGTTTCATGCCAAGGAAACCAGAGATTAACACCGGCCTGATGAGCCAAATTGGCTCGGACCAGACTTGCAATGGGTTAAATACACCTATGCAGAAAACTGCTGCTATAAACTCATGTCACGTGATTTGCGTTTAAACCGAAGACTTTTTTGTTTGAAATATTACTTGAAATTTTGACTCTAGGGTATATTTGTAATCGAAAGAAAGGGAAAATTTAGTCTAATTTCTCTTTCGTTCTGGTAGTAATTCTCGGACGAATTAGAGGACTACTCACCAGAATCGACAAACCTGTTAGTACATAAACGTGAACAAAACTTGTGGAGAAAAACTGCAGCTTTAATCTCATGTTACTTGACCCCCGATGGTGTCATCAGAAGAAAAAGAAGAGGACACTACATGTCATCTGTCTGTTTGCCTACTGAACAGAGGGCTTTTTGGCATTCCTTTTGTTAATTTGAACAACGATTCTAGTACACAAACCTGATGCCGTAATTATTTCATCATGACCATTCAGGTCCAAGGTTTCAACCCAATCAGACACGCACTTCAAGAGATATAGCGCTTGGAAGAGTGTGCCTTTAATATCACGTAATCTGTCACAAGATGACGTCATCATCACATAAGGTCAATGCTCGTCTAACCTTCCCTTCCGAACTATCTGCAAGGTTTCAGCCAATCAGAGATGTACAATACATATATAATACAAAACATTGCTATCGCAGAAAGAGCGCAGGTTTAGAGATTGCAAATATTTTGCCTTTTGGCGTTCCAAACAATACAACGAGTATGTTCCATACGCTGCCTATGTTACAGGCAGATATTGCGCGTCCACGCACACAGTAGCTAATGCACATTACGAAAAAGGGTTTTCGAGTTCGCAAATACTGCGAAGGGGGGTTTTGTCGTTGGCGCTTCATCCGCGTGAACAAGTACATGCACCTGTTAGCCACTTGACGCAGCTGACTCCAATGTTTTAGCTACCATCTTATGAACATTTCACTCTTATATCTCTTACAATTTATATTTTACCGAATTTCGAAGAATAAAATGTTTTTGTATTATAACTTCCGGTTGGATGACGTCATTGGGCCCAAATTTCACACGTGTTAACTTGGTGAAGATCATCATCCACATCAATTTTCAGCCAATTCGGACAAACTTCGCCACAGATATCTATTCAAAATTCATTTTTTACAAATTTTAACCTGTCGCTAGAGGGCGCTCGACAATTACGTGACGTCATCAGTAGAGGGGTTGAAGAATACTATACCCCAACAGACTAATACCGTTGAAAACAACTTGATACCTATTACCACTTTTAAATAATAAGCCCGCTCCCGGTTTCGACAAGATGGGTCACGTGATTTGACCCACATGAGATGAATTGAAGACCCAATTTTACTCTGGCACTTGCCGCACACAGAATGCTGCGGAAGGCTACGGTTGATTTGATATGGTTTTTTACATTAACATTATATTTAAATATTCAAAGTTTACTAAATCACTTGGTGACGTCATCGTGACTGAAATAAATATTAAAAACATCAATAACAATCACTTGATTTAAGAAAACACAGAACAAATAGAATAAATTTTCCGCAACTTGCTAACCCCCCCCCCGAAAGAGAATGTCTTTTCCGCAACTTGGGCAAATGTTTTTTTAAAAAAAGGACGAACTTGCAAAAAAAAGGAAAGAAAAACTAACAAAAAAGAATGCTTTTTTCGCAACTTGCGAAAAAAAAACCACTTCGCGGACGTCGCTGAAACATTACATACGGCACATAACCAAACCGGGATCCATGAACACCCCCCGAAAGCAGAGCAAACAAGGCGAAATCAACCACAAACGACACAAAAGAGCGCAACACTTTCTTCAGATAGTTTTATTAAAACTCCTCCTACAATACCAACTTTAAAAAACCTACTCATCCTAAACACGTGCTGTTCCGAGTTGCGCACCGCTTAAATAAATTATTCAAAAACTGTCTGGTATAGTTTCTATGACCGATTTCCTACATTGTGCTTATTTACATTTCAATACTATTAATAGAAAATTTGTATGAGGAATATTGTATAAATGCCCTGGTCCTGTAGAGTTACAAGGAGATGGGTGTTTTCCTTCCTTTTGGGCGGAGATGTTGGACATGGCGATGGTTGAAACTAGACCACGTGGCACAACACTCACAGACCCACACAATCTGGTTCCATTCAGAATCTCTTTTGTAGAGGATGTTCATTCAGAACACACTGTGGCCTTGCTGAAAGAGATAACGCCGACTTAAGTCTTGGTAACCAAACTGGCTGTTCGTTATGACTGTGTGCAGAAGCATACAGCTGACTGTCCATGTGCACTGACGCTTAATCACCATTTTGTTTCCAACAATTGAGGCACTCAAGTCGCAACTTTCTCTATAAATAGCTCTGTGCTGACTGGCCAAGTACATGTAACTACATTTAGGCCCCAAACGGAACAAGTAACCTGCAGAGACACGAGCGCAACCACAAAAGGCTCCAGTCTGGAAAGTGTACCGCCATTTTGAAGACGGAAGTGACTGGCCAATGACTGTGGCACCGAAACTGCGAAGTGCCCTGTAGTGATGCTCAACAGGATCCATTTTAGAGCTTGTAAATTTGAAGTGTAAACTGTCAATGGCGAGGTCGTGGTTCGAGCTCAGCGATTAGTGTAAATTTGTTCAGTAAACAGTTAAGCATTAAATGGTTTTATTAAATGTATAAATATATATCTCATTTTACTAACAATCTCAAACTAGTCCTGTACATTTGTAACTAAGTGTGTCCTTTCACACATGTAAAGAAAAGAGTCGGTAAAAACGAAGCTGCGAACCTAGGGCTATGAATTTGCACCATTTGCCTCCGGTCTCAGGAGAACGTCACTCGTTTCAACTCGTGGCTTACCAAAGAAACTGCATCTTTTGTCAACTACCTCATTGTATCTTTCCACTTCACACTTTTACGTAGGGACTCCCTATAGTTAATCTTTATTCGTGATCTGATCACGCACTATACTCACACAATCGTACACACACCGTCACACCGCGTTTAAGCAGTACTTACGATTGGTCATCACGGGTATGGGCGTGTGTGTGCCTCTTACATTTACACATGACAGTCATGCGTCCAACTATGTACGAACTGTTGAGTCCACAGTGGCGAGTTTTAACACAGTAAAAACTGTCAGACTATTCATTAAATGCATAATTTCCCCTTTCACATAAACGCAATGTCCTCAACAGCCTGAAAAGTATACACAAGAATCGCACAGCTGATTGTGCACGTAAAACACTTCCGTCTAAACTGGGGTAAAAGATAAAACTCCATACAGGAAATAACCGTTGAACAATAACATACTGGCCAGTACATATGACAGGTGTTATAATCTCACATTAAATAAAGGAGTTCCTCTACAGCTATTAATGGAGAAGTGAAATTTTTACGAAGAAGAGTCGCTCAATATTCGTTCACTGTGGAGAAACGAGAACAGTAACATGAAAACATTCAATGTCACTGTCTACGGGAACAAGGAAATTTAGAAATTCAACACAAGCATTTATGGGTATTACACTGCGCAATCTCAAAAAAACAAAGGAATGGGGTTGGTTACTGTCTAAATAGATGTTTACCAAAGAGAGTTATTTTTTCCTGGCACATATATGCATCCTTTATTTCCCGTCGATATTTATGGGACATCAAATGCGGTTCAGGTTTCATGGATCACTTTGCCTTTGGAAGTTATATCAATGCTTGTTCAAATCACGTCAAATTTCCTTTCTACTCGAGACCGGCACATTGGAAGTTATCTTTCCCTCTTTTTTGATAATCCCTTCCGATTAAACCAAAACCTTCAATGTACCACTGTTCCAACAGTGACAGAATAGGATGGCAAGGTACGTAAACTCGCTGCCGGCTTGAGAAGACGAGATTGAATGAGGAAAGGGTAAAGGATCTTGTTGCTTATCGTGGCTGTGGTGGAGGTGGGGGTGGCGGATACGGATGACGCTCTGACAACATCTGTCTCTGTATGTGCTCATGCTGTATCTGCTGAGCCAAGACGTCGGGTATTGGGGGCCTGTAGAGCCTCGCATGGGGCAATGCAGATGGGGGCGCTCCGATGGCTGCAGCGGCCGCTGCAGCTGGGTTGATCATGGGGTGAGGTGGCTGGGGCACGGGGAGAGGGTTGGGCGGAAGGTGTAGGGTGGGCGGTAGGACGGCACCGGCAGGCTGATCAGGAAGGACACCACCTTGGGACAGGTAGGTGTGGTGGATGTGCTCTTGGGGATGGAAGTGGACGTGGGTGTGGGAATGTGAGTGGGAGTGGTGGTGGGGAGTTGGGGGTCGCCCAGCTGCAGCGGCTGCTGCAGCCGCGGCGGCAGCCCTTGGATCACCCATCAACGCCATGCGCTCCAGATGCATGCGCTCTGAGGTCAACCGGTCAACCGAGAAGGCAGAATTCTCTGGGCCGTGCATGCGCAGGTGGTGCTCAGCGTGGGCTCGCTCAAGGTTATGGTTGTAGGCATTCAGCTGCTGCGGAGAGGGCAGCGGCTCGCCAGGGTGGGGTGGGTGGTGAGGGTAGGCTGCGAGGGGCGTTGTTGTGGAGGTGCGCACTCCTACGTACTGCTGCTCGTAGCCGGGCTTCAAGCCCCGCTCGCGCATTTCGCGGTCCCACATCTCCATCTCCCGCAACCCCCGCTCCTGCATTGCCCTGAGGTCCCTCTGTCGCAGGTCCCTCTCCCTGAGCTCCCGCTCCACCAGGTCAATCTGGGCCTCCCGGCTGCCCAGGGCGTACACCTGCTCCAGCTGGTACTGCAGCATGGGGTCGGGTCCCATCAGGTTGCTGGCTGGGTTGCCGGGTACCACTGCTGAATGGGGCCGGGCATACTCACTCAGGGTGCGCATGGCTGGCATGTCCTGTCCAGGGTAGCCAGAGTACCCTGGAGAACCTCTCGGAGGTGGCATGGCAATTGGGCCCTGTTGCAGGCCATAGGTGCTGGTCACCTGCGCATCAGCTGATGTGTTCTCCGGTGGTGTATCTGGTTTCTTCTATTACACAGGAACAAAAAGAAAATGCCAAAGAGTGTGACTTGTGAGCCAACTGCTGGTCAAGCTTGGATGTTCACTAAGGCATGAAAAAGTTAGTCTCAATTGTCCCTTGTGTACACCCAATCCCTTCCATCGAATTTCTCATGTTAGCTCCATGTGAAAGAAAACAGCAAATAAAACATCCCTATAATGCGCCTTGCTCTAAATGCATACATGTACTAGCTGTTGATTCTTCATGGCTCCTTACGCAGATACACATTTTATATCAAAAATTATAAACTTCAAAAAGGACACCAACTTTTTATGACACCATACAAAAACATCCTTTCAGCTATGAATGACACATGACATGGACTCACGGCATGTTTGTCAGTGCTGCTCGGCCTCCTCTGACGTCTGTCTTTGTCCTCCTTAGAACTGGAATCCTTCTTAACGGCAGCCTTCTTCCCTTCTTTCTCCTTGGCAGCAGCTGCTGCAGCAGTCTTTGCCCTCTTGGCAGCCAGCTTGGAGCTATCCAGGGGTGAAAAGACCAAGTCTGTGCGACTGCAAGAGTTGATACCACGATGCCAGTGGCGAATGAATCTGAGGGATACCCATGCAAAAGAAGAAAAATGTGTCAACTCCATATTTTCTGCTTAAATATTAACCCTTCCTACTGATTAATAACAGGTAATCGTAATTCGTGAAAGCAACGGTTTTGCTTGGATCTAAGGCCTGCATTATACTGTACAATGTAGTAATGTAGTGTTCCCAACTAAGAAGAGTCTTTCAGTTTACAAATGATGCCTGGCTACAAGGATGTCCCTTCATTCATCAATTTTGAATGAGAGAACTACGTTACTGTCATGAAACAAACTATCAACATCAACATTTGTGGGGGCATGTGGCATAAGGTTTGTTGTTAGGGTTTGTAGCTTCGAATCATAGGGTTGGAGGTGGCAGCATGCGGCGATCTTGGGCAAGTCACTTAATACCCCCATGTGCTTCTCTCCAAATGGGTACCTGTGAACGCAGATGTGCTTTAGGCATGTGCGCGCTTAATAGGGCAGCATTGGGCTAGTATACTCCTCAGGGAACTGAGATGGTTTCAGGAATGTTAAGTTGTTATGAGACCAATGTGCAAGAATAATGATCATGATGCACCTTGAGCACCCAGAAAGGTGGATACATGCGCAATATAAATCTGAATTATTATTTTTATTTACAGGATTATTCACCTTGCAGAAGAACTGGTATAATCAGTTCGATCTACCACAACCGGATCAGGTGAGGGCATCCGAGGATAAACACCTTTGTCCTCTTCCTCTTCTTCACTGTTAGAATCTCTGGGGTCTTCATCATGCTTCTTGGCTTCCTGGCGAGGTGATTCCCTGGTCAAAGGCTTCTCAGCCCCAGCTTCCTCGTTTCTTTCTTTTTTAAAGACTAACGGATGGAATCTGGGAACATCAGGGGGCTTCAGGAAGTCAGGAGGTGGCATCTGGTGCTCTCTCTGTAGTTTAAGATCACGCTCAGTAGAAGATAGGTGTTCACCATATGTGGAATACTCTCTAGATCTGTGAAGATCTTCAGCGAGTCTTGGGGGCTCTCTCGTTTGTCCCTGCTCTCCAACTCTTTGAAGCTCTCCAGATTTTGACAATTCCCTTGATCTCTGCAGTTCTCCAGATTCAGGTTGCTCTGGTTGTTTGGAATATTCACTGGATCTGGGATGCTCTTCGAGTCTTATGTGCTGCCTGGATCTCATGTGACTCCCAAAGCCATACCATTCACTAAGTCGAGGGTGCTCATTAGGTCGGATGTGTTCCAGAGGTCTTGCTAGACTTTCCACTGGCCTGCGAGGCTCTCCTGGTTCCTCTCCTGATTGCTCTCCTGGTCTGTGTTTTTCTGCTGGTCTATAATGCTCATTTTTGTGCATTTCTCTGTGTGCAGTCAGCTCACTAAGTCCAGGACGCTTCTTTGATTCTGGGAAATCATTCTGTCTTTCTCTGGACCTCAGGTAATCATCTTGTCTTGGGTTGCCAGCTGGTCTTGGATTATCAGTGAAGGTTGGACAATCATATTTTGGATGTTCTCCCAGTCTAAGATGGTTTTGTAAATTCCCAGACTTCGGGAGATCCCCTGGTCTGTGTTTATCTTCGGGTCTCCGGGTTTCACCTGTGTTAGGATGCTCTCCGTGCCGCATGCCATCAATTGATCGCAAATGTTCACTAGATCGTGGATGTGTACCAGGCTGTAAATACTCTAGGTGTCTTAATGAATCTCCAGGTACAAACAGCTCTGGTCTCAAGTGCTCCCCAAATCGTGCCTGCTCCCTGGGATGAGCCATATTGCCCCCTGTAGGTTGAATTCTTGATTGCTCGCCCAAAGATCGTAAATATTCATCTTGTGATTTGGGGGACTCCACTGAAGATTTGGACATGCCCTCCATATCTTTGAAATGGCTTCCAAATGGTCTGCTATGGTCTATAATGGGATACCGACGCTCGACACTTTGTCTGGATTTATCTACTGGAGATATTGAGCTCTCAGCTGACATTCTTGGGTCTGGCTGAGGTCTGGAAAATTCACTGGTTGATTTCAACTTTGACGATGACCTGAATTCGTCTTGAAACTTGTCATCTTTAAGCGATTCAGATCGCACTGCTTGAGGCTTAGGGCTGTATGAGAAGACAGGAGGTAATCTGGTGTTGCCGGAAGCCCTATATCGTTCATCAAATCTTTGTGATTCCTCTCGAACCTGAAACTGAGCTCCTTTTTGTTGTCTGGCATCGTCACTGGAGAGCTGCAAGTGATCCACTTGGTTTTTAAAGTTACCTATCGAATATCTGGTCTGATCCTGACCATCTCTTGAAAGTTTATCCTTTTCAGAACTTCTGGAGTTAGTCTGACGAGATTTCAGTAGTTCAGGGGGAGGACCACAGCCATCTGACTGCAGTCTATATTTGTCAGCAGGAGGTCTCGAGGGGGAGCCTCCTGCAGGAGGGCGTAGACTAGGAACTGGTGGTCTTAAACTGCCATCAGGGAAATAAAGCCTTTCATTAGAGCGCTGATAATCGATGGGATGTCTGAAGCACTCAGTGGGCTGCCTGAAAGGATCAAGAGGCACTCCTAGTTGGTTGCCCATATTTAACGGACGATCCGGTGTCTGCAGGCGAGGTGACTCAGATTTACAAGTCTCATCCACTTTGTCTTGCCTTGGTTCCTTTTTAACAAGTGGAAGAGGCTGATGCTGATAAGGTTCTGGCTCATCAACTTTTTCCATTTTGATGAGGGGCATTGGTGGAGGGCGATAAAATGCTTCGGCCTTACCAAGCAAAGGACTGTTTGAACTTGGACGACTTTCAAAGGGCTGTCTTGAAGGGACTGAGTCTGGGCTGTCAAAGCGCTGGATAACAGAAAACGGTTGAGAGGAAGGGGTGCCCTGACGATTTGCTACAATGTCACCGTCACTGGTATCTGCGTCCATCTTCTCCTCTTTGACTTTTACCATGGGTGTGCTTAGAGGGGTGGATTCCACCTGATCCTGACCTTCTGAGTCTGCTGTTGGGGAAGGTGATCGAGATGAAGAGCTCGTATCATCTGACATCCCTTCCCCTTCAGGGTGGCTGGACTCATCATTGGCATTGGTGATACTGTTGCTGTCTGTAGTTGTAGTGGCGTCCTGGTCGTTGTCAGAGTTTGTCTCCATCTGTTCCAGTTCCTGTGGAAAAAAATGAGCAAAATTCTCATCAAATTCCTACTTTCAAACTGTCGGCTGTAATCCAATGGGTCATGTACACCTCAAGTAGATGAGATCCAACTGTTCCTGAAAAAGTTTTCATCAAAGCAAGGGTACTTTTTATTTTCTTTCTTTATAGTAGACCTGAAGGACATGTTGATTATTTCATCCTAAATAACTATTTTAAAGAGAATTTCTATACATTAAACCACAACTTCTGCACTATGTAAAATGATGTTTCTCTCTCCAGGAATCTCACTTCTATGCAAGCAAAGTAAGGTTTGTGAGAATATCCTTGTGGTGATATTTTGAGGCTTCGTTTTGCGTTCATGATCAAATTTCTTCCACACTCTTATTTCTATAAGTCAGTTTTTCCATATACCATATTCCAACATACACAAAGCTTAAAAATTCCGTGTTACTGGGAAGGTACCCCAATAAGCAATGCAAAAATATCTGATTGCAATATAGCTGCCATTGGTATTAAATATTCAAAATTGACACTGCTTCCATTTGAATGGACAACTCACTGGAGCATCTGTATCTGGCGCTCCTCCATCATCTGCTGCTGGTTCCTCCGCCCTCATCCTGGATTCTTCGATCGTCTCTTCTTCCTCTGCCTCTTCTTCATCTTCCTCCTCCTCTTCTTCGTCTTCTTCCTCCTCACCGCCGGGCTCCTGTTTAATGGAGGGTGCCGTTGGGCTCTCCGGGGGCTCTGCCCCTGGCTCCTCCTGGAGGAATGATGAACACTTACTTGCATGAGACAGACAATGCTGTTATACAACATCAAAGTTTCGAGCAGATTGACCCGTATCAGGGCCTAATTTCATGGTACTGCTAGGCACATAATTATTTACTAACAGAGGCTCTGTGTATTTAACAAGAACCTTTGGTAAAAAGCACATTTTGGAAGAAAACAATTATTACATATACTACATTAAAATCTGTTTGTTGTGCATCTGTGGGCGTAACCACACCAAGCACTGACACAAAATGGTGCCCAAGGTAAACACAATTGTCTGCTACGGTAAGCAAAAATTGTCTGCTAACTGCTAAACAGCAACATGACATTGGGCAAAAGTGTTTACAGGGTGTTTCCAACATGCTTAATACCGAGAACGAACCTGAACAATTTCTCACAGGTGCAAGTTTATATACCAACTTCACCCTAGCATTCCTTTTTTTCGGCCCTTTCAGTTGACTTCCTCACCTTGACTTTCTTTTCGCTCGACTTGCTGCTGCTGTCACTGGAGGTGCTGAGCATGCTCGGGGAGTTGCGATGCTTGTCCTGTTTCCTCTCAACATTCACAGGGCTGCATGGCTCGCTGACGCTCCCATGTTTGTTCCGTCCGCTGCGGAGAGTTGAGCTCACCTAAAGAAAGAAAAACAGAGAGGGATTATGACTGCATTCACTTGATACTGTTCGTGATGGAACAAAAAAAATCTAACAGAGAGCGATTTAAACTTGTGGACTCACAAAAAGCAATGCTAGCTTTCTTTTTGCTGAACGTCCGTGCCCTGCATGGATACTGATAACTCTTTGTAATTCCAAATATTTTCAGGCTGAATGTTATTGGCCATTACACCAAACTCAGCAGCAAATGGGCCAATTTTCATGCGCCCAAAAGTTTTTTCTTTGTTCAATTTTTTCCATACTCCATCTACAATCCTGGCCAAATCTTGTTGGATCCCTCACCCCCTTCTCAATGTTGGGTCTCGCTGTGCAGTCTGTTTCCAGCTGAAGATGAAAACACTGACCAGGGAGGAGTTGAGGACCTGGGGAGGGTATGGCTATTGCCACGTGTCCCAACAATTTTGGCAGGATTGTAGCTCACCCATCAGTCCCTGCTGTGGATGACCTTCAGCATGTTACACGATCTCGCCTTGGGCATCTCAGACGATGTGGATGTGTACCCAAAGTGCATACAGGTTCACTTTTAGAGCCCAACTTTGTGCCTCTATCAATGGAAAAACAAGGTTCAATCCCCTGTTCCTTACTAAATCCCTCTGTCTTCGACTTCTCAGCTTGTGGCGGCCAACGTCATAGGACTCCCCCTCCCTGACTGGCTTGAACATGAAAGCCGGCGGCTCCCGGGGGTTCTCGATCGGCGGAAGTTCGCCATATTTCTTGAAACTGAGACGACAGTTGGTGCAGAGGAGGATTCTCTCTCGAGACCCATGGTGCCAATCTTTGGATGCTGTACATAAACCACAACCATTTGTTCCATTCAATTGCATGAATTTTTCTGTTACTTTTCATGGAATTCCCAAGACATTAATTTCAGTAGTCCCTTTGGTGTAAAATTTAAAGCGTATTATTAATTATTTCTTTAATAGAAGGGCAAGCGTAATTCCAGAATTTAGGGGTCCATTTTTTTGTGTGTCCCTGTCAAATCTGACATATGATTTTGTAAGTTAAGGACACATTTTTTAGTTTCTAAGTGTGATAAATTATAAATGCAAATTACCTACCAAACAAATACTAATAGTTTGAAATCAATTCCGGTGATACCTCCGTGTCAAATAACAAAGGTCAGATGTAACAAGGATACAAAAATGTCACACTTTTGGACCCCTAATTTCTGGAATTACCCACAAATAAGAAGTGAGCATGAACATTTTTTATAAGTTATGACTTCAAGCATACCTACATGTAACTGCAACAAGCTGAAGCGCACCTATCTGGGACTACACAATAAGCAACTCACATTACAAGACACAACATACTTGTGGTGAAGCAGTGTCGGCAAGCGTAACTGCTGAAGTCTCTCTCGCTGTCGTCGCTGTCCATGTCACTCTCACACGCTGAGCTCAGGTCCACTACAAGAGAGAGGGCAATCCCATCAGAGTTTATACATGTACCATCATCAAGAAGCAAAAACATTAAGAAAAGAGTTAAGTTAAGCCTCCTAGTCTGATTTCAGGAAGTTGCTCAGGATGCAAAGTGGGTTTGTCAAAAGAAAAACTATTCAGGACTGAATGATTACAATTCTACATGAACAATATTGCTGGATTTGGCATACAAGCTTAAAGAGCTTGAGTCTTCCATAAAACGGCTGTGGTTAGTACTATCTTTGACTATCCTCCAAAATATCCACTGAATATATACTGTAGGTACTGGTATAAGACCTGCCCTTGTAAATCAACAGAAGTTGCTAGGAATCCATTCCACAAAATCCTTCAAAAAAAAATCACATCCTCTTCCATTGTTTCAAAAATTGCATGATTCTGGGCAAGTGGCACTCGTGTATATGGCAGATATTTCCACACTCAACATTATATCCATTTGGAGGAACACATGGAGACAGTCAGTGAAAAAGTGACTCACTCAAAACTCATTAGTCACTAGTGTAAGCTTTAGAGATGACCACTTGTCAACCGCTGGCTAATTTTTCTTGGTAACCTGAGCACAAAATACACCCTGGGTACCAGGTAAAATCAACTTTGTCCTACGCTTCTATCTCCCATGCAATGTGTTTGCATCCGGAAACCTCTACTTACAGAATTCATTAGAGGGAGGCCGATTAGCCCGGGCACAGGTCTTGATTCGACGGAGGACACTCTGCCTGCGATGCCGACGGTATATCCTCTGCCCAGACGCCTCTGGGGATTTTTTCCAGTAGTAGTAAAACTCGACAAGATCGCCCTGACCGAAATAAAAAGCCAAATCTACGATAACAATCTTTCTTCCCCTTTTTGAAAAAGAACAAAACCCTACATCAATCATACTTTTTGTCATCTGCAATGAATTTTCATCAGAACACATGACTGCAAAATACCACATACCCTTTCTTTGTGTGGGAGAAGCTCTTTGCGGATGCGGAAGAAATTCTTGCCATATTGGCGCAGTCCCTTCACAAAGATTTTCTACGGCAAGAGAAAAAGTCACATCAATCGGAAAAACTTATATTTGACATTACAGCTCTAACAAGCTGATGTTGGGTTTCTTCAATTAAAGCAAATGTCAATTAACAACAGTTATTAGGTATCCCATCTAGTCTCTGTTGTGGTACATCCTGTCCTTACCGTTTCCTGTTCATTCCATTTCTTATCCACTGAACGTGGCACACAAGTCTTGACAAGAGACTGCAAGGCTTTGCCATAGTGGTAGTTATTTTCATGGAGCTGTCAGATGAGAAGGAAAGATATTGAGTAAAAACAAATTGGAAACCGGCATGAACTACTCTAGGGTAACATCCATCTTCAAGAAGGCTATTAAAGGGCCAGTTCATACTTCACGCGAGAGCACACAAACGCGACTACAGCGAATCTGTGACGTCAGATCAAATATTCGCACTACAAATTTGCTTAAGTTGAACACATTTCAACTGAAGGGAAATTTCGCTGCAAATCTTTCGTGACGTAAAAATTTGCTTCGCTGTATCCATTTCAGCTAAACAACTTCCATAGACTGAAGCATTATTTGCGGCCATGGCCACTGTAAATCGGACTCAACCTCACCATGCAGCGACTCTCTTCAGTCTCTCTTCAGAGTACAACGACTACTTACACGCTGCAATGCATTGATTGTCGTGTCATCCTTGGATGCTACCTCGCAGCCCTCCTCGGGGGAGCCACCATCACACATGCCCACAAAGGCCGCCATACTCCTGCAACAGAACCAGAATATGGATTGCGATCAGGATACTCTGGAAGGCCTTTCGAGTTGCAGCATAGCAGATACAAGATGAAGGCAGTCGCACAGTGACTACTGACAAATATTCATGTTGGGGAGAGGTAAATGTCCACTGTAACATGGGGTTTTGCCCTCTGAACCTTTACTCTGTCGTTATCTCAACATCTGCATGTTGAGACTTGTAGACAGGCCATTGACTGTCAAGAGTCAATGGCCTGTCTACAAGTACATGTACAGACTTCAACTACTTGGGGTTGCAGTAGTTGTAGCTGGTGTTGTATGCTGAGGTAGTGGTGGTTGTGGATGTTACTGTGCGAATGGTAGTAGTTATTGATGTTGATTGTGGTGGTTGTAGATTTTCTTGTGGTGATGGCCGTGGATGTTGTTGATGAAGTTGTGGTTTTGTGGTGTAGTTGGATGCTGTTTGTAAAAATTTGTTGTATATCCCCTTTTGAGGAAATGGTTAAGCCCCAGACGTTTCCACCAGTTGTACTACAATCATGCACCTGCATCATTTTGGAATTAGTCTGTTGTTACTCTAGATGTGCGTTACATAATAGTCCTTGCTGCCAGCAGCTTTTTGGTAGTCAGTAGCTTTTCGATAGCCTTGTGACTTAGGTGTGTGAGCGTGTTGGATGAAATGAGGTTGGGCAGACCAGATCAGATTTCAATAGAAGACAGACGTGTGTGTTTGTTATGTGCATGCATGAATTTCAGCCCCCACACATAGCAGGCTTTGTTATCAGTGACCTATCGAAAGACTACACTTCAAAATATATGTAAGTGCTTGATTTATCCAGATTTTGTGAGCATTTTGGCTCCGTAAAACACATCGAAGAAAGAAATTCAGCAGCTCTGTCAACCAAACAATCAGAAGTGTTAATTTTGAACTTATCTTATTTGGTAAGAGTTTGGAACACTGAATTTATGGGCTTATTACAAAAGTCGATTGATTTGAGAAGTCACCAAAGAGAGCTCCATATCAATTTTGTCAGCTTAACCACTTCCTGCCGGGGATTCCAGATCCAGACAAGTATGCTTTATGTGCGTGGCCAGGGTCTCTGAACTGGGACAAAGGGAACAGGGACTTGCAACAAAAGACCGTACTCGGAACAAAAGACCAGGCTGCTGGGAATTACCCACATTTTTTCACTCTCAAAAGTGGAGATAAGCTAGCCTTGATGGGGCATTTAGAGCGAGCGGATTACCACCGAGGACAAAAGCGCTCCACCACCGCAGTGATGAGCCACACAGCACCACTGCATGCTAATCTGGCCCCTACTGAAAAGAGGTCAGCAGTGCACTGAGCCAGGTTCGTGAACAAAAAGGAAGTTATATAACACCGCACAATCTGGGCTCTTTTTACAAGGCTGCATGCCTGGCTGAAATACTCAAGCGTCAATAGATTTTGTCTGTCAGGCTCGAGTGGACAACAGACAGTCCTTCACATGTTTGTAAGTGTCCAGTAAATGAAGATAAGAAGTTTAAAAGAATTTGGAAAACAGAAAAAAAATGATAAATATCCCGGCCCAGCATCATCAACATTGATAACTGCTCCGGCAGGAAGTGGTTAATAATTGCCTGCAGGTGACATACATGACAAATAAGCAAGTGAAGACTTACGTATGCTTTTAATCTGCCAAAACTTACCCACTGACGAGACAGTGTAAATACTTGTAAATTTATGTAAATATGTGTAGACTCTTCAGAATTAAGTAGAAAGTCTCTGGTGTTTCCTTTCGTTGTTGGGTTGTAAATATATTGAGTTGCAGACAGAAGGGACACAGAGTTTGGGAAAATATCCAACTTTGTTATAGTGGTGGTCGTAGAAAATGTGACGGTTGTAGGTGTGATGTTGCTATTGTCATGGTTGCTGTGGTGGAAGTTGTAGATTTTGTTGTGATGGTGGTTGTAGATTTTGTTGTGATGGTGGTTGTAGATTTTAGGGTCATGGTGGTTGTAGATTTTGTGGTCATGGTGGATGTAGATTTTGTGGTCATGGTGGTTGTAGATTTTGTGGTCATGGTGATTATGGATATTGTGGTGGTAGTTGGGCTTGTAGATTATGTAAAAGTGGATGGTGTGGTTGTGGATGGTGTGGTTGTGGATGGTGAATGTTGTTGTTTTCATTTTAAATTATTCTCTTTCCAAGAAAAAAAGGAACTACAAACTTAAAGTACACTTTGCTTTCACGGCATACCTTGCAGCCTGGAGGTACATCTTGAGGTCGCTGTCATGAATGACAGGTCGCCAGGTCAACTCCTCGTGCCTGGTGATCACGAGACCACTGGGCTGCTTCTCCTTGGGGCGAAGTTCAGGCAAGACAGCCTGATGACTGGGGCCAACTCTAATCTCACCCTGAGTGCTGGCAAGCCGTCTGTTAAGAAAAAAAAGAAAAAAAAGGAAAGCAAGGCACACAAAATGAAACCTGAAAAACATTCTCAAAACAGAACGGATTAAAGTCAGGACAACTCATATGCAATTTTTGACAGCCCTTTAATACCAAGTTTCCCCTCTAATTCACTTGCCCAGTTCAACATGTATGACCTGAATTTCACTTCCAAGCTAAAACAACTCAGTGAATTGGTCAAGGTACATGTAATGTACCAAGATACCAGTATTAGAGCCTGTCCCCAAGAAGAGAGTTGAAGAGAGCAACTTTGACTTGTCTTCTGTTCGAGTTACGGCTAATTGAGCTTAACCACTACCAGCCGGGGACTCCAAAATTGGAGCCGTATGGTTTATATGTGTGGCCGGGGTCTCCGAACTTGGACAAAGGAAACAGGGCCCTGTAACAAAAGACCGCACTCCGAAGAAAAGACCAGGCTGCTGGGCATTACCGGCATTTTTCACTCTCAAAAGTGGTGATAATCCAGCATTANACTGCGTGCTAATCTGGCCCCTATTGAAAAGAGGTCAGCAGTGCACTGAGCCAGGTTCGTGAACAAAAGACAGTTGTATAACACCGCCCAATCTGGGCTCTGTTTACAAGGCTGCAGGCCTGGCTGAAATATTCGGACGTCAATGAAGGTCACCTGTCAACTTAGAGTAGTGCCTGAAGATTACTCTGTGTGGCTATAAACGACTGTTAAATGGAATGGTGAATCGTTGAAGGATTTTGAAAACGGAAAAAATGTTAGTCATGCCGGCCCAGCATCCTAAACATTGAAAAATGCCCCGGCACGAAGTGGTTAATAATCGTGTAAGATGTCACATCATTAACCTGGGGATCAGGGTCCCAAAGAGGACCTGTTCAGTAACATCGTGACAACGTTTTACAATGTTACAGTATCTTTGCATCCCTTCCTGTTGCAAGAACTCCCCCTTCATCCATCCAACCCACTTCCCTCAACCAACATGACACACCCACCTCGTCTCGGGGTTGTAGCCAAGGATATAGAAGAAGGTGTCAGGTCTGGCCTTGAAGTCCTTGGCATTTTGTATATCCTTGAAGTGCTTCACAGTTCCCTTACCCCTGGATCGAGCACACATGGGAGGAAAACCCCAATAAATAAATGCCCCCGAAAAGACTCATTCACTGAATTCTGATATGAACACAGCAGCTCTTCAAAAAATGTCAGGATCCATGCAATAAAGCCCTTGAAAATGCACTATACCCGTACATGAAGGTGTCTACACTGGCGTTAATTTCAAATTACGTTGTGCTATTTTAAAGGGTACTTGTATTTTGTTGCCTATTTGGTTTACATATTGAGGGTTATAACATTCGTGAGCAAAACTGTGATGTCCTTTCAGGCAGAAAAACCTCAATTTTACATGATTCGTGAACAAAATTGCTCGAAAAGTTAAAGAGTGTGTCCGAAAAAAAAATCACGGCTTGGACCCTTTATATCTGTTACTGACCTCAGCAGTGACACGTGGTAGTTCTCTGTAGTGTCTGAAACAAAGAGCTCTCGGCTCTTAATGATAGGGTCTTTGGTGACCAGGTCAGTGCCAGAATCTGTGGCAAGATAAGCAAACCAACGCAAGCATTCAAGAATATTATATTCATTCCTAGTTGGTCACATTTGCTTCCTCGTTGTGGACTGCAACTCCATGCACTCCCAATCATCAGTCTGGGCCTTGTGGCAATGTAGACTAAAAGAAAATCTCTGATCACTGAGGTACATGTACATGTACACTTCAAGGCCCTCATGGTCTCCATATCATGTACCACTACATTCTTAAGTCTAGTGTGATTTTTTTTCCATTTTAACACAGAAATAAATAACTTTGAAGATGACCCTGCACTGGTGACACAAATAAACAAAAACAACTGCACCATTATTCACATTGTTGGTTGTGGGCAAAGTCTACAGAAAATTATCAAAATATTTTGTAAGACAATTTGAAATATTGTTTAGTCTGAGATCCATGTCATTTCAACATTTCAGCGATGACCGAAGCGCATTCAGATCCTAACTGATGAAAAATGTAGAAGCAGGGTGCAACAATCTTTCTGAAAAAAATCCAACAATGGCCATGACGGGATGCACTGGTCCACACGTCTAACAGCTGGCCAATAACCACATACACCCATCCTATTCTACCCCGTCTTGGAAGAGGTACATGTAGCACCCATTATTGGCGAACAAGAGTGCCTTTAAACTAGCTTATAACAATGGAGTTGGTTCCACACTTCAAACACATATGCGCCATGTCTATGATCAATATCAGAGGAGTCATTTGTAAACATGAACAAGAAACAAGAAGTGCCAAGAGACCCAAACCAACCACAACAAACTAAGATAAAAAACAAAACAAAAATAAAACACTGCTTACGCCTACCATTTTCGGTGTGCCTGTCTTGGACCAGAAGCTGATAGACAGAGTCAGGCACTTCAGACTGACGGTAGAACCACTTCACCCCAACAATCACATTGTCCCTCTTGCTCTACAAGAAACACATGTGGTCAGCAGACTTAAGCACACTGGTGCTTCCAATCACATACGCTGTATGTAGTACTTTGATATACCGGTATCAGAAATAGGATGTTGCGTTCAATTAAGCTGTGTATACATACCGGTACATGTACATGTATACGTGGTACAAAAGGACAGGACCCAAAGAATTTTCAACTTCCACAGCAAAATTCAAAACACGGTTGAATTGGCACAAATGTGGGGCCCCTGATGCCCTTTAATTAAAGACCACTTTGTTTTCTCAGTTTTCATTTCAGAAGAGCAAATTGAGCTACATGCATTTCTTTTAAGAATCACTTTGGAATTCTGATGAAAATTGTCAACATACATGTAGGAAAAAAGACGAGGCTTCCTGTTATACTCATTCAAGATTATTTGAGAGCATTAGTTCTGGAGACTTCCTACTCTTTTTCATTAGACAAGGTCATGAAGGCATCTCAGCCATGTACATGTATTTGTGTTCATCCAACAGCACATTTAATGCAAATTACAGATGATAATGTGTGAAGAAGACAACGAAGAAATGTTCAGTTTTAGAGGTGGGAGGAGAACTCTGGATCAATGTTTCAGGGAAAACCCACAGACTCAGATGTACATGTAGGGACTGAAAACCTTATCCCCATGTGGACCGAGCCGGTTTCGAATCCAGGCCTCCAGAGGTACATGTAGAAGGCAAGGAAAGAAACCCTACACCAACCTGACTCCATGTACCACTACAAAGCACATGTATGGGGGAAGGGCTGAAGAAATACAGTGTACATGTAGGACAAGTTAAAACATCTCGTCGAGTTTGGAACAGAAATTCTGAGACACCAAAATATCTATGCATCTTTGCGAATACCGTAGGATACAATGGAGTTGAGCAGTTTCTTCACTGTGTAAGATCAACTTTTAGGTTGCAACAGGGGCAATACACCAGTACACTTTACATGTACATTGCTGAATGATCCCAATGTGCTGGATATTTACCTGACTTCTATGGAATTGTAAAAGCCAACAAAAGTGACTCAAATAATGAACAGGTTAAAAATAAGCAATCTTTCCAAAGTGTAGCTTAATTTACACTGACTTCTTAGAAAATTAAGGGGAAATAATGAGGAAAATGTGATTAATCATACATGTAGAACAAAAATACCTACCACTCTGAAGTCTTGTATTGTGCATATGAAATATGGCATGTCGGGCCTTGGACTTTCCACATACACACTATCTGTTACACAAGAAATCACAAACATTAATACCACATTGCATGTACCAGAAGCCTGCAGTACACATGTACATGTACATGTGCACATGTCACGCAGATGTTTGAAGGGGCCTGGGTGTTCAAAAGCATTCACAACTGCATGGAACTAGACATGTCCGCATCTCACATGGTACATGAATGTCAATGTACATTCATTTACATAGGGCCTACCCTGGACAGTTTTTATTCCTACTGGTCGAAACGGATCACGTGACTGCGCGTATTTACGTTTACATGTAATGATGCCAGGCTGCTAAGAATTGATAATTCCCGCTGTGAAAAATCACGCGCTGGCACACGGATACGAGACAGTTTAATCGGGTCGGACTGGTCAGACATGTCAGAAGTCTGTGTGCATGCAGAGCATTATTGAGGCACCACGCGCGACCCAAGTTCACTGAAGGGGATTTTATTGGACAATTTTTCAAAAGGAATGCATAAAATGGATGGGGATGCTGGGGAAAATGAAAATTACTGTATAATTTTGAACAAAATTGGCGCAAATCCATCACATGTTGACTTCTTTTGACTCCCTGAATAAAAAGATTTTTATGAATGGGAATAACTACATGTATGTGCTTGACTGGCCTCACGTGGTACCCGGTACATGTACTGTACAGTGTATGTCAATGTGCATGTACATTCATTTACACGTACAGTATACCCAGAACAGTTTTTCTATTCCTACGTTGAAGACCTTACTCAGGAGAACGAACACTGACAATGCGGCTCGGGCATTTAAGTCACATCCATTCTCCTGCGCCCGTCTTACCGTAAATGCACGTTTAAGACCTGCCAAGCGCATATTTATTCCCTTAGTAATACATCTGAGCAATGCAATGAACATACATTGACATACTCTGCAATGTACATATACAATGTATGGGGTAGAGTGCATAATTTTTTGTGCATAACAAGTTAGAATATGTAAGAGTCAGCATAAAATTGCAACATTTACCAACTGAACACTTTATTGCACATGTAAATGTACTGTACACATGTATACATATGCACCTGCACATGCATCATATAATGCAGTGTACATGTACATTGTACATGTATATGTACAGGAAGCTTTATTACACAAAATATCTAATATTAATCAGCATGCTAATACAGTGCGCAGTCATACCCCAGTACATGTACAGGTTCATACCGTACATGTACGTACATGTACATGTAGGCCCTATGCCTTTAAACATTGTGTACAATGTAGTGTACATGTAATGTATGTACATGTACATGTACCGGTATATACATGTACATACCACAATCTGCATGACTAAAGCGTAAGACGACATGTACATACATGTATACTACTGTACATGTACACAATGACCTAATCATCCCTAGAAATGGCTTGAAGTCATTACCCTCATCTTTGCCATCCAAAAACAAGACCACATCATGGAAATTTATGGGCCAAGATCTTTTCCCTTAGATGACACCACTAGCAGTCTAGGCTAGTCCAATAATGCACAATTTATGGGAACCCTCTGGCCACTTGACATACATGTGTACATGGAGCACCCAAGCACTTATGTACTGTACCTTGCTAATCCTCCCAACCTCTCCCCCTTAGGGCCAACACAAAAAAAATTTACATTTCTCTGCATGCTCATGTGCTGATGCAGGTTTCCCTGGTTGTTTTAACTCACAATCTGCTCAGAGAAGTAATTCTGTGATAATGAAATTTACTGTGGGTAGCACACTGCACCTGATGTGGAACATATTTAATATAAATGTAACATATAATGTACATGAAACACAGGTGTGATACACACATACAGTACATGAACTGTACATGCACACGTTTCTTTACTCTCGCTCCAATGAATGATTGGTATACATGTACCCGTACCCGAAGGCCTACGGCATGTTGCAATGTAATGTACAGTAGATTTGATCATATGATACTGTGCTACACTTACAATACGAATGTATACAATACATACATATATGCATACGCTTGGGTACATGTACATGTACCGGGGTACACATGACAATGTGCCTTTAAAATCACTGCATGCACAGTACCAGTCTCTACACCAACAGACAATGCACAAAACACAACATGTTTTTTGGCAATTTACAAATTTTTAGTTGTACACAAACACTGTGACATGTCCATGGGCCCAACCTCCATCCATATACATGTATTGTGAGAAGAATGCCTCTGACATGCACACTTTGTGTAAGAGATGAACCGGCAAACAGCACTGTTATATGTACATGTACATGATGCGTTTGCTTGCAAATTGTCTTACGTTGTTTATCTCACTGTTGCCTTTTTGTAATCGTTGTAAGCTACATGTACAATGTACATATAATTCAGCCCTCAGGCTGTATTGCCAGTTTTTTTTAATAAACCGGTTATAAAAATGATAATCATAGAAGAGGTCAGACGAAGCAGTCTGCAAATATTCTTTTGGGAGGGCTTTACAGTGTGGGACAAGGTGTAGGGCTTGGGAAGGCATTAATATTGATTACAGCATCTGCTGTCATCCATCACTACTGTGTTGCCCAAATGCACATTAGATTTTTTGTACATGTACCTTTCATTTACATGTAAGTGGAGGGAGTTCTAAAGCAATGGCACAGTATAGTGTCAGTTGTAAAGTGGCATGCATGTACATGTATGCACATGTAGCATGTACATGTACATGTACGCATGTACATGGCAGCACTAAGTATTTATTGTAACTAAATTTGAACCATGGAGCTGGATTGTTTGTAGACTGAAGCAAGTCGGACTTACGTTGCTCTTCCTTAGTCAGTACTTCAGCCGGTACGCACTACACGGTCGTCGCGCTCAGCCCGGCAGCTCATATAACCCTTGTACTTGGCACCCTCATAAATAGCCTTTACTGTACAACGTGTGTCACACGTTACCAGTCAGTACATGTAAGGCCGACTTGACGGATAAACCAATTGGACCCCCCTATCTGTGGATATAGTTATTCATAACTGCATATGAACGACATGATCTTGCATTTTGTGTACGGAATTTCCACCAATCAAAGTATGTGTAGTCAGACTTGTAGACCTGTTCATTATAAAGCAGGTAAGACGTAAAAACAAGTCCTGCAATGTGATTAGCTAGTACCACTTTTGGTAGATGAGCCCATTCGCTGTGTACAAATGGTTGGCAGATTCGTTAAGTAGGGATTTTTTAAATGAACCCATAGAAATAAGTGGACACAAGAGGGCGCAAAGCAAGTAACAGTGCACAGTCTCGTTTGATATGGTATCCAAAGCAGAAACAAGGACGTCACAGAGATCCAGACTTGAGTCAAGTCTGGATTGTTTGGGCCAAGTGAAAAAAAAAACAAAAAACTAAAGTTGGTGTCATGATAATACAATGAATCTGGTAGGACTTTGTGGGGGAAGGTAATTGCTTTCAGTAACAACTGTACCAACAAATTTGGCAACACAATACATGTATACATGTACAATGTAATGGTATCTGATGGAAATTGGAAAAATATCATCCATGGATGAAAATAAAATACCAGTAGACTGGTTCTCAGTCTGCTTAATTTATAATCGGATTGCAAGATAGCGAAATAGACTACATGTAGCTAGGGGCTTGTAGAGTACTCTCAGTCACATGATTTTTGATGGTTAGTGTTAAATTTACACAGATGTGCGCAGAAATGTGCGCACCTTCAAAGTCTCTCAACATTCCGGTACACATGCATACAGGAAACTGCAAACAAAAAGGAACAGATTTCTAGGTGCGGTGTATACTTTTTATGCATTTGCCCATCATGTTACGTCACATGAAAAATCTCTTTATGAAAAGAAACAAGTATAAAATTCTACCACTGGTTAACAAAAACCACATCTGCAAGCATGGAGGAAATTTTCGACCTTGAACGAACTTGGAAAAAAATGCATGTAAGCGAGTTGGATTAACTCACCCCCGACAGTATACGTTGTACTGTGGTCCGATGTGGTATATGACATGATCTCCCCATCGGCACCCCGCTTGATGCGCGAGGACAAACTGTTCTTCCGGCCACCGCTAGGCTTCATCGGCGGTGAGCGCTGGGGTGGGGCATCGTCGGCCTTGCTGATCTCCACGGAGCGCTTGCGGCGCGGGTGGTGGTGGTGGTGGTGGGAATGGCCAACACCCTCCTCTCCTCCCTCTCGTTTCTCCCCCATGATTGAAACTACCGGTAATAATGCCCCGGTTGCTGAATAGTCCTGAGTGACATCAAATGATTGACTATTCAAATGTTTGACCTCAAATTTGATCAAATAGTTGGTCGTAGGGCAAATATTCCATCTACTGTACATAAGGCCTCTAGAAAAGCACTATTTATTGATGTAATGTACATGTACAATGTACAAATGTACATCAAAATAATAATATCATAGCAATAATGTATACATGTACATGTAACTTCTCGCTTCCATTTCTTTTGTAGGCATGAAGGAATGATTTATCAATCAGGAAAGTTTCAGCCTATGATACAGCTTAGAGAAATGGACGACCTCTTTATTTTATAGCGCTGCACTTCCAGATAATTAAATTGAAACACATAATTTGTGTGTTTTACAAAAAACCTACGGGTGTGTTAAAGATCCAACTTTTGAATACATTCAACTACATCATGGCACAGGCCTAATGCTGGAAAACATGTTAAAAATGGGTCATTCAATGAATTAGAATGTCCAGTATTTTACATGTTCCTGTCACATCTAATATATTTTTGTAATGTAAGTTCACAACTGCACATTCTCTAATTTTTACGGGTGATGATTAATTGCAACATTACGGTACCTGCCAAACAAAAACAGTTTCAAATCAATTTCAGCATATTACCATGTCAAATTATTCAGGTCAGATGTAACAGGGACACCAAAATGGCACACTTTTGGACCCTTAATTTATAGAATGAGCAAAAATACCACTATTGAAGAGTAGCTGTTCACTAGTGGTAAAATGGCAATTTCCCAGAAAGTCAAGAAAAACTGTTGCATAGAGTTACATGTGTGACATGTTACTGTACAGTGCCATTAGCCATCAACATTTGTGTCAAGGACGTACCGGTACATGTACAATGTATATGTACATCACATGCAATTCCCGATACTGAAGACCATACATGCCGCAATGAATTAGTTACGCGCACTCAGAGTGCTCTGCGTCAAACATGCATATATCCGGTACTTGTGCGCCTATGCGGTGAGTACCAAAAACCACGCCCTCTTTTGTTCCACTTGGACAAATTATTTAGACACGACATATTAACTACAGTGTACATACATACATGTACATGTATTTGAAAATATACGCATAACCTCTGACTGGAGGAAATGCAATGTCACCCCATTGGAAGTGGGTACATCATACATCAATATCCCAGCGTAAACCATTTATGAACAGGCATTGTATGTTGGGTGCGATATGCATCTGCATAATATAGTCGGCACAACATCCCGAGGACACATCACAGCAACTGTATTAGGTTTGTGTTTGATCGATATGTGCGATTTGTTGCACAGTTTGATGTTATTGCAAGATTTGTTATTTTTGTCAACAATTCTGGCGTCAGCCAGTCCAATTTGCTTTCTAATTCAAGCTTTTGAAAGATCGTGAAAAAAGAGAACTAAAGTTGGAGATTTCATACATGTACAGAATCGACCAATCGCACAGAGGGAACAGGCGATCATGCAGATAACTTAAGCCAATCACGCCCAGCTATCAGCAAAGCCAAAGTACATACTGTACATACTGTACATGTACAAGCACATGTAGGTTATTGAACAACTCGATTCAGGACAACCTGACTGTTAAGAAAACTTGACCATTAGACAACTCCACCGTTAAGACAAGTCGTCCATCGAGACAAGTTAACTCCGACCTACATGTAGAAACAAGGACATGGCAAGCGCATGCGGATGTTATGCAGTAACTTGGCATCGTCACTGACCATCGATCTCTAATATATGTATAAGGGAGATCATTGATCTCCATTATGTTACACAGTAGATCAATGCCTACCGGTAGCACAAACTGCTAGGCGATGTATTTCGGTGAAATTTGTGCACATTTCACGCACGGGCCTCAGGCCAGGGCATGCACAGGTTCGCGACTAGAAGTAGCAATGTATGGTGCATGTATGGCATGGTAAAGGAAACAACAGCCAGCCGCATTCCACATGCACCACTGTGTGATGGATTAGCGGTGAAATTTATTAAATAACATTAGCTAGACGCACCAACATGAAGAAGTCGATTTGTTTCAATGGATGACTTGTCTTGATGGTCAAGTTGTTATTCGGTTTGATGCAGATGGTCGAGTTGTCGGTCGAGTTGTCCTGAGTCGAGTTATCCCAACGGACAAGTTGTCTTGACCCCAACATATGTACATGGAGTAGGCCAGGTAAGCATGCCTCGGCCTGTGAACATGTACATGTAACATTACGATGATTTGGGCATGATCAACATGGTCCACTCCACAGTACTATTGGGGACAAGGAAATTCACACAAAGACTACAAAACTCCTCATACAATTTATAGTATCTTTAAAACTAAAATGCTTCATACAACTTACTTTTTGAGGTTAACCCTTATCGAGCAATCACCATCATCTATAAATTCTCCCTGTGGTCCCAATTTCAGAAGGAAAAACGTTGTTTTGGTCTCATGACGATTGGATTTGGTCTGATCATCGCCTCCGAATCAACTGATGCGAATACGAACACATGAGGGCGCTATTTCAATGCGCCGCGCTGAGGCCTGAATTTTTATTACGTCTGTCACTTATATCCCACTTTTATTCACGTCTACACGTACCGTCTGAGCCCCTTTCTTTTTTATTCAACAATACGCAGTATCATCTATTTTTACAGTACCAACAGATTTGTTTTGATGGCTGATAAAAATCGGCATCTTGTTTTAAACTCTGGTGATTCGTGACGTGCGCATGTTAATTATGAGTGACACCGTCGATGGTACCATGGTGGTACCACGCGTCGTTTGCATAATTATAACGCGGCTTTGTTTATCTGTGTCTTGTAATATGAAATGATATTTCATAATTTTGGGACTGGTTCTCAAATCAAAAGGGTATTGGATATTTCTTACTTAAAGTCTGATTTCATTGCATCTTTATGAGAGCCCATGGGCGAACCGGCGAAGCACCGAGAGCTCGATCGAGGCAAAGGTGGGGGGGGGGGAAGGGCGGGAGAAGGGAAGTAGCAAGCCCACTGATAAAAAAGGCCCCAATTTTGCAGAGAAGTGCAGAACCCACTGGTGGTGTCAGGAATAACACGGCAGTGCTTTGATCAATCAATTTCGGTTCCGAATTTATCCTTAAATGGTTTGAATGAGTAGTTAATTGGACGCAGCACTTACAGGATAGCCTTGCATTGCTTGAATTTCACACCATCTTACCAAATTTGCTTGATAAAAGCATTCCATTGAATTATCATTACAAGAACGATCAGAAGATGACTGGTAATTTGTCTTTCGAAAGACAAGCTACCAGTTCAATCATGCAAATGACGAAATTGAACGAATTTGCTTTCCAATTCAACGCCAATCCCGGAAATGACGATAAACAGGACGAATGAGAGCATTTTTGTCGTGAATTACGATGCTCTGAAAGTGAAATCTAATTGTGTTATTTCGAAATTGCAATCAATATTTAGGGTGAGTGACCGCTTTTGACGAAATTAAACTTTCTTTTAACTTTAAGCAATTTCAAATATAAGAAAAGTGACATTAACCAGAAAAAGTTAACACAAATTCAATATGAATTCAAACACGAAAAAGTCCGCTTACAGTGATATTTTAGGCTTATTGAAAATGAACCCAATACACCAAGTATTCTTTTGATTTATCTTTTCTTCGATGCCTTTGCGAGTTTTCCGTGCATGATCACCCTCCTTTGCCTAACCGAGTACGATATAATCATATACCCTTGATACCACGCGCGGTCGTTCGTAATTACATGGATGACATAGACAAGGCAGGGTACAGCTGCTCTCTCCATATCCCCGTATGTCGGACAGACAGGACGAACGCCGACAAAACAGAAATGAAAACCTTGAACTGCAGCGAATTTGAGGCCAATCGCGGTTCGTGCATGCGTGTTACCACATTCCAGTTGAATTTGTCCTTCACAAGCAAAGAAAGGACCCCTGAACGGGGAGAGTAAACCTACCTCCATGATAAAACAGTTCATCAACATTCGTCAGACACGCCGAAAAGGGTGCTAGGCCGCAGACCGTTTGCCCAGTGCTAATTTTACGGGCCATTTCGCGAGCCATTTACGGGGTGTTCGGCGTGCATATTAATGACCAGTAGATAAAGGCTGGATCTTCACCACGCGGTATATTTGGCAACAGAGAAGTGTCTCTGTATGAAAGACAGTTGCAAACGGTAATTGTCTCCAGGATTTCGTGCTACCCTAGATGGGAAATTTATTCATGGATGATATAACTAGAACAAGAGAGGGCCCCTTAATAGTCCGAGTTGGTTTGCCCATCGGTGCCGGCCAGGGCCCTTTACACATTTGGCTGAAATGGGCTCCGCGACCAAGCCTTGGAAAATTATTTATGGCTTCTTATCAGATTCACAACACCCCCATGTGACGGGTGGGGGGTGTATCACCTGGGAGGAATAAAATAAAGAGCACGTTGGAAGCGGTTAGCTTTATGTTCCAACGGGTGTGGCATGCAGAGAGCAAACGAGTGTATTAAGCGTTAGCCCTTTTCCGGGATGGCACACACAATTAGGAGGGTGCAATTTGAAGTGCGGGAAAACAGTTCGGGATAAAAACAAAAGATTTTATTCAAACCAAATAGCGCCCTCCTATTGCGTCCATCATACCTCAATAGGCTAGTAGTATATGAGGGATCAGAGGCCACATTACTTTTTGATGTAGCCCTAACTCTATGTACCGACGACGTCGAGCTGCACCACACTTCACTTCTGGTCCCTAGACAGTACGCACACAAACAGGTGCAGTGCGTGTAACTTGAGCTATGAGATATGAGCTCTTTTGCGTCGTGTGCACCCCCCCGAAAAGGGCACGATATTAATAATGCACCCATGTCACCTCATCCACAGTGACGAAAAGTGGCAGTAAACTGTAGTCTTGGTTCGAGCCTTCATCCAGTTGCAAAGTCCTTGACACTCAATCTCAAGTTTAGAAATCTGTTACGATATATGTATTACTCAAAAAATAAATAAATAAAAAGGGAAACTAACAGTCGCGACACTTCAGTCTCTAATCTAGATGATTCATATAGTCCAAAGCAATGTTCCTAATTACTAGTATACTACCTAGTCATAACAGCGACTCGAATCGTATCTACATGTAGGCCTAAAGGTTGTTCCTTTGGTCGTCCGCACGAACAAGAATGTCTTGTTAACTCCATCACATGCATGTTTCATTGCCCCCTTGTGACCACGTGTCGCCAAGTGTATCGGGGGGGGGGGGTAATTCGCTTACCTGTACGAGCTGTGCATGTGACACACTGCACAAAAATATCTTTCCAGATGGTGATATTGTAAGATTTTCATTTTAGACAGCTTCCACCATGACATTTACACACTTTTTAATGAGCGTCACCATTATGCACGCTCGAAGGCGTAAAGGCTTTTTTTTCCACCACTGCTTTTTTTCCTTTCTCGGAATTACATACGTCCTCTCTAATTTCAGCACTGTGAAACTAATTTCGTCGAGGATTTTCATTAGCTAATGATGCTTTAAAAGGACCGTGAAATAGAAATATTTTACCAAATCCCTTGAAGTTGCACTTTGGGTTTCCATTTACCTCATTCTAAATTTTCATTTTCCGATTTTAACGCCTATTTGGAGCTTTTTTGGTTTTACGCTAGTGCACATTTGCATATTCATGAGCCAAACTATGTCATCCAAGGCATTGAGCCTCAATGTTGCACTCATTATTTTGTGCACAGGGCATTTCCAGATTTTTCTAAACACTGGTACGGTAGATTTTGTTTCCTTTGGCAGTTTATTGTTGTGTAAGTATATGACAATAAGCAAAATGTTTTTTAAAAAATGGCAAAAAAGTAGGAATGGTATCAGGTAGCTAGTTTGGAGTTCACAATTTGAACACAACGACATGCAAACTCAACCATGTCTTCCTGGATTGAAATCAAAGCAAAAGCACCCTCAATTGTCCAGAAATTCTTGGTCAGTTCACATAGCTCAAAACAGATGTCAAGCAGTCTTCATACACTGAAGAAGAGTACAGAGATACACAAGAAGTGATTTTTAAGAAAAATTCATTTCATGGATCCTTTAACAAAAACCGTGCATCGTCCTGTCACATACTCTCAAGTTATATATATTTGAACAGTCTGGACGGGTCCCTTACATAACTACCAAATCTGTTTCCAATTTAAGATATTTTCAAACAATCTTATCTTATATTTTCTTGACACTTTACAATATTATTGATATTGAGCATGAATGGCAGCATTGATGTAAATGTTTCAACTTTCAGAACAGCATAGAAATAGCCAGTATCAGTCTTAACCTGAGACTAATTACACGTTCTTGTAAAGTGAGTCTTGACATTCTTGATGCATGAACGTGTACACAACCAGTTAAACGCAGTTATCTGCCTGCTGCCGGAGATGCATGTATTCACAACTGCAACAGCAAGAAGTGTAAGTGATTTTATCACAGGACAGCCCATCGATATATGCTCTCCTACAGTACAGAGTCTAACAAGTGGGCTATTCCTGTCTCGGTGTATTACGGACTTCCCGTTAACCCCAGGACGGAAGCAAATATCCGGCATGCCAAGCGTTGACCACAAGTATAGAATGTCTAGTCTCTTTTCCGGTAGCAACAGCAGGGGGGGGGGAATCGATCGCTATAGAATAACCCAAGGTGCGGTCAGTGACTGGCAGGCTACCACCAAAAGCAGCCCACGGAGTGTATCTGGTTACAGTGGTTGAACAGGCCAGTTCATGCATGTATTTGTGATAATCGAATACATTTCCAATCCATTGAATTACGCTGCAATTTTGCATTCGCCTGAAGTATGAATCAGCCACAACTGAGGGTCGAATGGACAGCCAAGTCCAAACCTCGGTACAATGTGCACTCACACGCTTTAAGAGCAACCCCCCCATACCATGGAGCTATAAAACACATGCCCATACAGAGATCCTCTAGTAAAGTGAAGCACAAGCAATCCTCGCCCTGAGCCTGAATGCCAATGTACCTGTTTATTCTATAACATGAAACCTCAGGGCCGTCAAGGTGACAGTTCAGAGCTGTGGCTGCGAAGTCGCCCGAGTTTTTGTCGTGATCGATCTGGGGCAAGAGTGTTATTGCCCCTCTTTTTCGACCTGTGGGGGAAACCATTCCCAGTTTGACGGGGGCCCGGAAAAATGACGTATGGCTGCGGGTGAGATGTGGGTAAACGTGAATATCAACTGCGATCGAAAGGACAATAAATTTTGTCAACTGAGGTCTACGGACAGACAATACCCGTACATGCACAAAACAGTACGTGTCGTAAATTCATATTAACTTCCCCGTAGGGACCCACTCTGGATTCAACATGGCTGCCACCACTGTGTTTGCATTCATGCCATGCACGCGTAAACGCCCTGGCACTGGCAGATCAAGAGCTCTTGTGTTCAGATGGGAGATTCATTAATAATGCAGAGGTCATCGGCAGTACAGGCACCTGTCCATTGTAGGAAGGGCTTCTGGACACCCCAACCAGCAACCCAAGATTTGATGTACACTGTACATCATGTATTTTTGAAGTAGCCTGGATTTCCAGGAAGGCCTGTACAAAACGTCCAGTGCAATGATACCCAAAATGACACACGCGGTACTCAATTGTCAATTACTGTGTATGAATCATTTCAACACGAGTATTAGGTTTTTAAATTTGAAGGCTTGGCGACCAAATAACACACATCATCCACGCCATTATTGTACTGCAGTTATTCATTCGTCTTGTCTTGTAAGGAATACGAAACAAAACATACTTGAAAGTGATAATCAAATCATAAGTGATAACCTCAACTGGTAATGATATATCATTACACGTTGGACTTAAATTGTTGCGTCGAAAAAAAGTACATGGAATAAACAACGTGCAACAACGCTTTAACTAAAACAAAATAATAAGAAAACACTGAACAGTTACCTCTGCGCTGATTATGACCTGTCACTCATGATTCTGACCGTGACAACCCAAAACACTGAGAGATAAAAATACAGGTAGAAGGCACTTTGTGAAAGTTTTCACCACTATTCTCGTTAGTTATCTCCAACAATTACAAGTAACACAGGAATGAACTGTGTAGTTTGCTCTTTCCAGCTTTATATTCCTAATAAAAAAGACGATGTAACTGGGGAAAACATTGATATGATTCAAACTCTAACTGTAAATTTAAAAAAAAATGACTTCCATCCTTTTGAACAACTGCTGGAATAGTAAAAAACAGTTAAGCACACTTGCAAGTAAAAATAAGTAGTTCCGAAGATCTGAGCACAGGAGATACTTCAGACTTGTTCGTTCAAATGTACATGAACCACTTTTTATGAGGCACAAAACAGATAACAAATATTGGTAACATTGTATTGCGGCTTGAGTTTTTCGTGCCTTCGTGAAATAGCCACATTCGATACAATAATACAAGAATAGGCTTGGAAAGTTTAGGAACGTACATGTAGCCCTACTGAGTAATTATAGACTGGCCCCCCTTTCTCCTTCAGTTGGGCCATTCCACAGATGAGCGATAACGGAAGTCCACGTTGCTTGAAATATCGCAATGGTTTACCTATGTTAACAATGACCGTGGACGAAGCGCGCAACAACACTGGCGCGTTTAGAAACCTTTTTTTGCGCTGAGACGGCGTGTTCCGTCCTATCAGCGGTCTCGTTCAGTGTTATAGCCAAGGAATGACTCCTCAACGAGACTCGTTGTGTGTAATGCTAACTCATACCCGATGGGACACTTTCCGGAAACGCTTTCCGTTATCGCTTGTCTCTGAAACTTTACTCATCATCATACTAATACTCAGTAAGCCAACAGATAAAAAGTAGAAAATTGACAAACATGAATATTTAAAAGGCAACAAAAACAAATAGGGCCTAATTTCCCAGCTTTGCGCTAATTTCTCCGTTTGTAGATTCAAAAGGTTTCGACAATCAATAGCCAATCACATGGGTAACGAAAAAGTTAAGTCCCATCAAACGCGTAACACAGGCTCAACAAAATGTCAACACGAAGCCACTATTACAACAAAGTCAATTCCAAACGATACACCGTATGATTCATATTTACTTATCAACAGCTGGTTAGCCAATGACGCAATACCACCGGTGGTTAAAGCGACAACTTTCAACCTGCTGACATCTGTCAACAATCTGACACAATACTGATAGACCCGAATACAAACAACCCCACAGCTGACACAAATTGATGGTTCCATGGTCGAAGCAAAGCGGAAGAGCTACAATCGAGGTGATAGACTGTAAAAAGACAAATGATAAAAAATACGAGCATAACCACAAATTTGCAATTTAATAGCACTTGCGTGTGCGGGTTCCGAAGTCCAATGGTCGACGGCTTGAATTTTCTCTTCCTTTGTCCAATCAAAGAACCTACCCGTTCAAAACCATGTCGTGACCTTCCCCTATCCAGGTTCAGTAAACCAAACCTGCGTCAAACGAACACCTGCCGAATCACCATGGCAGCTTCAACAAAAAAGCACAATAATTTCTACCATGCTTGGCATTTTCTATGAACTTGTACTTGCAAAGTAATCTTTCGGATGCCTCCTGTGCACTGCTCCTTCAAAAACGGGGTATACAAAGCAGGAGGGTGCCATGTCACATTGTCCTAAAACTTTCAAAAAAAGAAGGTAATGCTGGGGTTCTCTTATCATCACTACTATACTGTCACGTTGTTCAACTTTTGGACGTACTTCCAAACCCTGACAATGTTTGCTTTGTTCTTGTCTTTGTCCTCACCTAAATGAAACGTAATACTTCTGCCGATTTTTCTGAGCGTCTCCTGCTCATCAGTGTAGTTCAAGTAAGTGTCGTACACGCCGCTGTATTTTGGATCAACGTGAATCTTTTTCATGATTATACCTACGAAGGCATCTTCCCAAGGCAGGAACTGGGTGGTGAATGACTCCTTGTAGATACGGGCTGCTAAATCTGCGGAGATGAGATACGCCGGACCGTTCAAGTACGGCGGGTAAGAGTCTTCCGGGTACACGTCTTTGGATGTGTACCATTTGCTCTGCTTGTACCGGATGGGTTTAGTTACATCCTTCCGGTTTCCCTCCGCTAGACCGGAGGTTGGAACTTGGTCGATACGGTCGACGAGATTGTACACATTGACGAACATGTCAATGTCCATTTTCACAATGAATCGGGCGTTGGAGCAGTAATACGACGCCCACTTCAAACCCATAATGGTCTTGATCGTCAGGTTGTAGTAGGAGTCCGTGAAGTCCTCCTGAATGATGTCATGGTACAGGTTGTTCTCCAGCTCAATGAGCTGTTGGATTTCGAGGTTTCGCTGTCCTAGCAGGAACATGGTGACGATTCGCTTACCCTTGACCTCCTTGGCACTGGCCCACGTTTTGCGGATCAGCGACCGCATGTAGCTGTCGGAGGGCGCAGTGTAAACCAGGCACAAGACGTCCACGTAGCCATCGGGATTGGCGCCTTTCACGCACGCGTCCGAGTTTTTCATCAGGAAGTGAAACGGGTGGGGGTTGATAACCTTGTCCGCGGGCGACGGTTCCCAAGAACGCTGCTGTTGCTGCTGTTGAATTCTTCTGGCCGCTTCCTGTGCAGTAATCTGCTGCCGCGGGGACTGCTGTTGCTGGTACTGTTGGTCGACCTCATTTTGCTGTGGTGGTTGGGGCTGCTGTCGTTGCGTGTCATGCTGTAGTGGTTGTTGCTGAGTGTCGTGTGAATGTGGTAGTTGCCACTGTTGCTGCTGTGTTTCCTGTAGTTGATGTTGCTGCTGTGTGTCTTCTTGTTGAGGTTGCTGCTGTGCTTCCTGTTGTTGAGGCTGCTGCCGCTGCTGCTGTGTTTCTTGTTGTTGTCGCTGCTGCTGTTTTTCCCGAGGTTGCGGTTGCTGCTGTATTTCCTGCTGTAGCTGCTGCTGATGCTTAGATTCCTGTTGTTGCTGCTGCAGCTGTGCTTCTCGCTGTTGCTGCTGTTGTTCTGGCTGTTGCGGCATTTTCTGAGGGAATTGCTCCTCCAGATGTTCCACTGTTTTTTGTTCTAACGGCTCACGTTGAGGTCGGTCTTTTGTGTATGCATCAGGTTGTTTTCTTCCTCCATCCTGTTTGGGGACCATTTCGGGTTTCCTGGGTGGTGCATCTGCCTTGGAGTTGACGGGGACCGTTGTGTTGCCATCTTTGCAGTAATTCAACCATTTGACCACGGTCCGAGTCTTGACTTTGGCCGAGCTGCCTGCGGTGTCCTTTTTCGCCGCCGACGTCTTGTTGGTCTCCAGGGCAACGGCACAGGGACATTCACTGTCCTTTAGGGTCCGTTGAGTGAAATTCACCCTGGTGTCCAACACCCACAGCATGGTGGCTGCCCACAGCACGAACAGGAGTGCCGAGATCTTCCCCGACCGTTTCAAAAGCATTTTGACGGGCTTCAGGTAGTCAACGGTAGCGTAGATCCTGCATTGGGCAGATCAAAATTAGATTTAAACGTTAGAAAGGGGTCAAACATTGCTCACAATTCTCAGGCAGTCCTTGTCACAAACACTAGACTTTTTAACTATTTCATTTTTGAAACAGTTATTCAGTTTAGTATATATAACGCACAATTTCTCTTGCGCTCCAAGGTGTTCACGACTTCGGTTCGCGCAACTGAAACTAAGCCTTGTGGAGTACATGTAGATGCAATCAATTGATTTTAATGCAGACCTTTAAAATGCACCATTGTGTCTCAGTTAACCTTACTTCCAACTTTTGTTTAACTATTCCAAAGGTTACTGTGCTGTCTTTTTGGTTTTTATACTGAGATTTCCATATTCATGAACGAAACTTTGATGTCACCAAGGGGAGAACGCCTAAATGATACACTGGTTTGTACACAAAAAGTCACGCATTTTTTTGTACATTTTGCTAAACTAAATACATGTATTCTCTTCTTTGCTTTTTGGTTATGCGCATAGCAATAAGTGGGTACCAATGCGTTCCTCAGAAATGTTTTAAGAAAGTAAATTCTTGGTTCACAATTTTCATAGATAAACCTGTGCAACGAACGATATCTTCCTGGATGACAGTACAACAACAGCGCCATTCTCTAGAAAAGTATGGATTTGAAGTGTTTAATAAAGTGCGCTTTCTGGTGTATTTAACCAAATGCGAATGTTAATGTCACACGTGAAGAAGAGTACAAAGTTGCATAACAGTTGTGTCTAGAAAAAGTCCATCACGTCTACCGTTAACATGACTCGGTAGCCTTGATACATGTACCCGGAAAAGACAGTTCACATGTAGGCCTAGTTTGTGTAGCGTTTGAAAAAAAAAACTTGGCCCACGATTGCAGAGTGTGGATCGGTAAATATCAGTAAATGAAAAGAGAAACATTCGACCTTTCAAATGCAACCAAGACAACCAGATTTGGGCCATTTTCAGGTCTTTTATGATCGGATATAGGGAGGCAAGNAACGACGAATCACACACGTAATAAAAAAAGTGCACCGAACTGCCTCGGGGAGAAGAGAGAGTGTCCAGTGAAGAGGTAAAGTGGGATACGGGTGATCATATGAAACGGCAAGGCGGCCTTGCTCAGTGTCAACTATATACATACGACGCAGATACACATGTACGGGCCCTTTTGTCACATTTAAATGTAGTGCAAGGAAACAAAACATCATTTGTGACTACTCCATATGCAAGTTCACAATTATTTCATTTAAATGACGATTGCCATGGTCCCTCGACGGTTATTACGTCACAACGAAAGGCTTGAGAAAAGAACAATGCCCTTACGTCCACCCTTGTGAATAAGCGGTTAATTGCACCTACATGTACATGTAAATATTGCACGAGTGAGAAAACTCGAGCGATCAATAGAGGAGTTGCGTCGCGAAGAGGACAGACAATGTGGGAATACCAGTCGCAACTGTTATCGATCCTACGTCGGCGCATAAAAAGGTATAGCAAGATACGAAGACATTTGCGCAGGGGGAAAAAAGGGGAAGAAAATCCCTTCACAATAAGGGCCAGATTACCACCCAAACCTGCGGCCACGAAGGTCGTTAATACAATAGCGATTTTTTTTTAATCACCAGCCATCCGTGACCCCGGTACAGTTATTTTCAGACAATTTGCCAACTTCGACAAAACGTCCTTGAAGGGCTTAACGTGAAAACATGGCATCCAAACAAAAACAAACGATAAATATAAAGTTCATTTACTTTGCATAACTTTTTTCCCACTCCAACGATACGGCTTATGCTACTGCGACACACTCCCCTTTCCAGTTTGAAGCAAGGCTAGAACGATGATTACTGTCTTTATAGCTTCCAGAATCCAATGCGACTAATCCGTCTGTAGATACGGAACTATCCAAAAGCATGTACGAGGATGGAAGGGTCTTGAATTAATCAGCCTGCGGAACTCCTCGATTATTGAAGATTAGAAGCCCAGAGATTTCTGCAAGCATTGCAGTTCTTGAAAGCTTTTTGAACAAAGCTTTAGAGTAACGAAGTATGACATTATTTTTAACCAGAAAGTGTAGCCTATAGTGAAAACGAATGGACTACCAACGTGTGTTGATTCACGCGCTGGTTCTTGTGTCGATGGCTCCTACCCACATAATAATTGTGAGCGTAACGTGTTCACTTCCATACTCTACAGCCCAAGGATTTCCATTGACGCCAATGAGTCACCTGTAAAGGTGATCTCAAGCTCTGCAAACCAAAACTTTAACCCAAACCAAGTGCATTCTAACCAAATTCAACTCAGCCTAAACTCGCACTTTCAATGTCATGGTTGAGAAACAATGACTAATCGTCGAAGGGCTCTTAATAATGAAAGGCCAACACCTACAACGGGGGAAAAAAGGCTAAAACAAAAAGCATACATGTATGTCTGCTTGCATTTCATGATTTCGACTGAGCAAGGGGAAAAAACTCCGATAACGGAGGGACGTTTAACGTCTAAAGTTATTTACCAAGTGTTCCAAAATCTTTTCTTGAACACTTCGAGCCTGCATGACAGTCTCTTGCCCTCAAGTTTGCTGTACACAAACCACAACATTTGTCAAGCTATTCAAGACAATACGTGTATATCTCGTGCACAGCTTAAGGCATTCACTATTTTCAGTAGGCCACGCATAGAAGAATTTTCCCTTTTATGTGCGGTTCCACAAGGCTAGATCTTGCCTAAGCGTTCAACGGATATGTGAATTAATTAACAATTTGCAAGATGTTTACCGAATTGAAACTTAGATTCCCGTTAGTGCTTCCAATCTTTCCAAATGTCACGAAAGACATCGTTTTGTAAAGGCCCTCATAAGGATGCAAGAACAAAAAACTTAACCATGACATCGTCTAATATAATTAGTACCTAAAGTATATACAAGTAGTATAGGAAAGTGAAAGTTGTATGTTTGTTTTGCGGAGTCCTTTCAATTACCAAGGGCTAAGCGTGTATAGTGCTAAAGGCTTCTGCTGGAGTGGAACTACACAGGCCGTTTTCCAATACTCAACTTCGGCTCCGTCTCAGGCTTCAACAGTTTTTTTACTACCTGACTTTGAAAGCTGTAAGCGCAGGAATCAGTCTAATAGTGCGACAGAACATCAAATAAGATGCAAGAAAGCCAAAAATTACAGTAATCCCATGTAATTTAAACGCTTCAGGCCCACAATCGGGGATTGGTTTTGGGGGCGAAGCCTGAGACGGAGACGAAGTTGAGTATTGGAAAACGGCCACAGTATGATACAAAATCCCTTCTCTGATTGTTTCCACCGTTTCGTTGTAAATGTCAACAAAATAATTACTGTGACAGTGTCTTCCATAATTAATTGGATCTACATGCATGTTGGTACGGTTTGGCCTAACGATATCCGGTGCGTAGGAGCTGGCGATACATGTGTTTTGATTTGTTTTTCCCTATCAGACATGTAATTGTCTTTCGATGAAAGATCTTCAGCTTCTTTGCAGCATACATGCAAAAATGATGTAATGCGTCTGCAGAGGGTCCCTTTCTCGCAAAAAAATATAAATATTATGCTAACAAGCATGTCTGTAGCGTAATTGCCAGTAGGCCTATATGTGCTCTGTAGAGAACAGCATATTACTGTCTCGGCCAATATTGCAAAAACAATTATCCCTATTTCATAAAAAACGTTTCGTCTGTGCATTCACTAATTACGTCCGTGCATAATGGGGTCGGGTGTAACAAGGACTTAAAAAAAAAAAAGATTCAATACCCTTGACTTTTCTAGGCTCGATTCCAGGAGAGGGTTTTCATCACTCATACATGCACATCACTACATGAACATGCATGCAACTGCATGTATACATGGGCGTAATCTTCAGTCTGGGAGTCCTTAATGACTTGGAACATCATCCAACAACTCAAAATCTAAATAAGCATTCATTCAAATTTTAAAGACAAAAGACGGGAAAAAACAGGCCCAGGCGAGTAATGTGAGTTTCCGCTGAAAACCTACATGGTGCATGCAGAGATAAAAGCCTCTTCCCGAACGACAAACAATAACTTCCCTCGAAATGGTGCTTCATTGCCAACAAATGGCAAACCATTAATAACAGTCTCCATCACAATAAGGCTATTTGTAACGCTGCCAACAGTAAATAAACGCCCGGCGCCCTCATGTTAATGACGTAGTCGGGCTGCAATCGTCCACATGCACGAAGAGATGTGATTAATTTTGCAACAAAAAATGCACGGTTCAATTAAAGAGAGATAAATCAAACCAAAAGCACATTACGCATTATTTTAGCAAATACTTCAGTTAAAGCTCCTCCTCAATTTTTAAAGCATGCATGCGAACACAAAAACAGAGCAATCAATTTTAAAAATACCTCCTTATACTCATTCAAATAACAATAACATTAACATGCCAAAGGTGTCCAGATTCGCTACAGCACTGAATGGCCTAAGAACCCATTTCTAACTTGAGTACATCAACTGACAAAAGTGATACATAATATTTTTACACTAGATTTCAAAACACAATTTACATCAGTTTGCCCAAAAAAATGAAAAACGTAGTATGTATGATTCAAACAAGACATGAATACATTATTTGAATGTGGATACACATATTTTTTTTTGTAATTTCAAGAGGTTCATATAACTTCCGGCAGGAAAAGAAACACATGTAAATACACAGCACTTTTTGAGACGCACTTTATCTGTAGAACACTTTGAAAGCAAGGCGCCGGTCTTTTTAGATGGAAAGAAAAAACTAACACAATGCTTTATTTGGGGTTGCAAGGCCTGTGAAAAGGGTTATATATTTGTACTGCCGTTGGAAGTGGCTGATGTTCTGACGTTGCTTCAAGCAGCTGGGAAGTAAGTTCCACAGGCGAGGATGATGCTACAGGACAGGTCAAGTCTCGTTGACCTTAAGCCCGATCTGACAGCAACGATGACAGAATAGCTGCTGACGAAAGGGACACTGGAAATGAAAATTCTAAGAAGCTGACGACAAAAATTAAGGAGTCTACTAAAAGCCCTCGTTTTCATCGTTAAGTCTGCGTATCCCTTGTCCATTTGATGTATATTTACATGTAATATTGTGAAGATGCAAGCGCCAAATTGATTGAATCGGTGAATCCCAACAGAAAGAATCAAAACTAAATTGGTCACTTCATCAAGAGGTTCCAAAATTACATGACGTTTGGATGTGAGTAAAACGATTGCGGTTACACCATGGGTAAATCTCTTTCTTGAGTATGTGTGGTTCTGAGAAGAACCAGGGAATAAGATCCCCGATTTTTTCAGAAGCACTCATACTAAAGAACGAGATTTACCCATGGTGTAACCGCAATCGTTTTACTCAGATAGTTCTTTCACCATGAAAACCTTCAAGTCTGACGTTTGGATGTGTTTAACTTGAATGAATAGGTTCCTGTTTAGAAGCGTTGGCAAACCATAAAGACAATGAACGTGAATTACAGTAAAGAGCACGACATGTACATGTAAATTAAATCGAATAACCTACGCCTTCACAAACGAACCTGGACGCCAGTGGTCTACCTTCAGGTGAATCGGAGGGGACCGCTTCGCTTCTTGCAGAACACCAGCAACATCTGTTGCTTCTGCGGTTTGTTTATTTCATAAATATAACATTAGACCAGTTTCCGTTGGACAGCCCTTCAACATGGCCTCCTCGAATTCCGCCCAATTTACATGTACACCGGGGTGAGATCAGAAGAAACTGAAAAATCCACGAAATTATCACCAGAGGTTTTGAGGGCCCCTCAGAAGCGTGAGGTCTATAGCATATACAGTTGTGTTTGCACCCCTTCAAATGCATCCATTTTTTGTGTTCCATACAGTGTTATAAATGTACATTAAAACACTGTAACGGTAAAGTCAAGTTTTTTCTAGATTTTAAACAGACTGTTTGAAAAATCCTAAAGTCAGGAAAATCCTGATAGAAATCCCGAAATCAGGAAAACCTTGACAAATCTCAGCCCTGTTGCACAGTTGTATGTGAGAAAATCTAACAAATCGGGGGGGGGGTAACTGGCAAAACAAAAACTCGCTTCAGCAACAACATTCTCCGAAAAGAAAACATTCACACAGATATATTTTCCCACAAGACAGTGCCTGGGGTCAAATTTTACAAAAGACACGGTGAATTTACTAATATTGTTTTCACCTGCCTCAGCCATTCAGGGGAGAGGCAGGTATCGGTTCCAATTACCCCGACTCGGCCTGCTCCAGAGGGTCATCGCTGAAACATGGTTGAGCCTAAAGCATGACATGACATACCGTACATTCCGATCAACTCGCAACACAACGAACGTTCATGCCAGATGTGGTTTGGCTGTTTTTGCCACAAAGTTGGCTGCCTTCCGTTTTCCTTCACTGCGTGCTTCGTTGTTCTCGTCATTTCGCTTGGGGCCTCTAAATGCACGTGTGTTTATGAAATTTCGAAGCCTATAGGCGGACTACGCACGTGTTCAAGTTCATCGCGATATAAAAACGAGCACGAAACTAAAAATAAAGCACGCAATCAAGCAAACAAGAAAAAACACAACTAAAACTTTAAGAAACATGTACTGCAATCCATGTAAGGTCACAGACATGTGACGTGAACATGTACATTATGCAGCCTTCCCAAATATGTTTGATGTCTCGCACTCCACTACATGTTTACCACCATGTAAGGGCGCTCAATTAGAGTTGCATGAAGCATTACATGCCACCTGGAGCCTATTCAGAGCGACAAGATATGACATGTGGCTGGGTATTGATACACTTCTAGAATATAGATAAATCAGCCAATGAGCCAAATCAATCAAAAACAGGTAGGTCATCCCCCCTAGATCAAATATGCCTATTGCCATTATTGTCCAGCTCAAACACCTAGGCAAAAATAGACAGAAAACAATGATCCTGAAACGATGATTACGTCTCCCATTTTCATTCATTTGTGGAGGACAAGACGAAATTTGAGCTACAAGTACTCGTTTACCTCTGTTTCATTTCAAGTTGGTCCTACCGACCTCAACACCTATCCAACCAAGTGTTGAGGTCTTGATTCGATTTTCAAAGACGGATTTTCTCCACCATTTCGCATGCGAGCGTGAAGCCAAGTGATTTCAATTAGTTTTGACGCTTTAAAGATGGACTTGCATTTGTACCGGTACATACATTTTTTAAAGTCTGACCATTCAATAGTCTGAGTGATCGGAAAGTAGGCCTACGTACAGAGAACATACATGTACATGTACATGTACATCAGACGTTTCTTTTGACCCCATTGACTGATGGTGCTTGAGGGCGTCGCTGAGACAGGAAGTTTCGTGCTGGTCCGTCAAGTTTCTTGTAAGGTGTTTACATTATCTTACAGTGCGGTTCAATAGTGCCATTACACATTAAAAATGAAGTACGGGGGGGTCCGCTGTTTTGACGTCAAACTCAAAGTCATGTTTTCCTACTATTATTATTTTTTTCATACTACCATGGTTAGCACAAAAGTAAAAAAAAATCACAAAGTGTTTTAAAAATTCCACACAACTATCAGAATATCAGATAACACACGTGCTACTAAATACATGTATAAATGAAAAAAAAATCCAAATCAAACTCAATAAGACAAATGTCCATTTTGAATGAACTGGAGCTAAAATCGAAAATCTACCAAAAGGTGATATTTCTGCAAACTTTGGCCGCCAATTTAAGTTGTAGGCAAAATGAAATTGGTCTATAATAATTTTTTAAAGTTAGTTTTTACGAGATTTGTTTCTGGAAACAATGTGTCTATCTCAGGAAAAGAATCGTTTTGAGATAAATTTTGTAGAAACATTGTTCTTATTTTTGTGACAAGATAAATGTTTTCAAGGATCGTTTTTACGTATTATTTTTCAATATCGATTCGTAAGATACATAACGAACTTGAAAATATATACCTCGTGAAATTATTTTTTAAATTTTATTTTTTTAAAATAGATCCCGTCAAAACGAGCTTGAAAAATATATTTCGTTGAAACAAACTATGGAAAAATGCATCCCTTGAAAGCAACCTTGGAAAAATTATAGAATTTAATCTTTGAAAAGATTTACTTCATTGCACTAGTGACCTTGGTGGGCGTTTGTGCAATCTTCATGATTTTTAGGCGTTGGAATTCGAGCCTGTATGTAAAATAGTGCACTACAATGCATAGTCCAAAACCTCCGTAAAGCAAGTGTTACAGTTTCCTTGCTCTGTCACCATCAACAAGAACCAGGAGAACAAACTACGTTGAAACACAAACTAAATAAAACTACTTACATGGAGATCGATGCGGTTACTTCAAGCACACGGAGGAATGTATGTGTCCTTTTTTTCTGTATGCTCCAAGTAAGCATACTCGGCATTCTTTACCATTGCTTACCCGACATCACGCTAAGCAGACTTGGCCACACACATACCCAGACTATGGGTAGCCAAGACCATGTGTTTAATTCCTCCATGCCCAGACCACAATACCGCCAAGCTATGACTGCATAATGCTACAAACTTCTCTAAACATCCCAAGATCCTGACTACCTTTGGGTCCCTTGAAATAATGATTCAAAGTACATGTATTGGGACTTAGAAAGTTCAACCATGCTTCAACCCTTACCTTATTTACGTCAGGACCTGTAGGCCATAATGTGAAACCATTAAGAGCAGGGAGTCCATGACAAAATTTACATGTCTTCATAAGTACTACGTCATCACGGTAGGCCTACACACACAGCGAGCTGAAGGGCAGCACTAACGGCCAAGTTGCCACATGGCCTCCTTCACCACTCATGGACCACATATTCCCATGTCATTCTCTGTATAGCGGAAGAGCCTGGCGACCTCTTCAACACCGTCAGTTAGTATTCCAACCGCACAGTTATAGCATAGAGCTATAGTTATAGCATGGAGGAATGTTCTTATTGCTCCATGGTTATAGTCACTGGAGTTGAAATGGAACTCTATCATTCAACCCTCAGACCCAGGCTTCCTGCACAATCTTTCTCACGAAACGTCGCCAACTTCCTAACTGCACGTAGTATAGTAGTGCATGCATGTACTGTACTGTACATGTACTGATGTAGGCTTTCCGAGTGCCTGTGGACTGTACATGTACACGCGGCACTGAGAGCAACAGCGGGGTACACGGAGCCCTCAAGTACATGTACATGTACACTCAGTGGTGCCGCACTCTATTATTGCGAGACAGCGCTGTTGAATGCTGTTGCTAAGACTCGGGAGTCCTCTAACGTCTTAGCATAGCGGTTAAGCCTTTAGCAAACACCAGTGTATTAAATGGGAAAAAACAAATCGCTTCCTTCGTACGCGGGGCATGGCTTTGCAAGATAAGCCGCCGTTTCGATTGTGGTTCAAGCATATGCAATGTGACACCGCTTCAATGGCTTGTCACATGACGACACAGTGAATGCTACTCTGGGCTGGGTCTACTCATTTACTACATACATGTACTGGTAACAGTTACTAACACCTAAATCTCTTTGTCGTTTTCTTATTTTTTAAGCTGAATATTGACCCCCCCAAAGAAACCCACTGCAAATGGAATCATGTTGTGCTATGCAAATTTTGTGCGTCAAGGGAGTGATCTGCGCGAGAAATCGGAACACTGAATAATTCTAAGGCCTCTGGTGCATGATGGCTGATCCTTGAAGATGCAGCCACAGATAAAAAAAATCCTGAAATACATTTCGAATTTCCTGAAATTTGATGGGCATTTACGGAAATGCTCAAAAATGCTTCCTGTATGACTTTTGTCTTTTTTTCTCACGAATGAATATATATGTTTTATAAGAACTAAGGTAAAACCACGGTTCCCACTAACCGCAGACTAAAGGTCTATTCTACTCTAGGCGTAGTCTACTCGGCACGCGCATCGATTTTACCTTGACGTGGACAGTACAGGAATTGAACTCCCAATCGAATCGCACAGTACGCGCAATGCACAGACATAAACGCATAGACTGCCAGGCCTTGTTTAAAATTACAGGGGTTTTTCGTGTCTGCGCTGCGCCCAACTTAGTCTTGGTTTCTAGACGTTAGTGCTTGATAGCGGACACCGTACTGTCGACCACTGACGTCTTGTGCTAAGACTACGCCCGACTAAAGGCAAAACTATGGGTAAATTCATCCCTCGGTATAGGGAATTTACGTGCATAAAAATGTATGATGCCATTTTTTCGATTGTAAAAAAATCCTCTCTTTACTTAATCTGGCCCATGGGGATAAAAACAATACAACATTTGAAAAGAAGGAAAAGCAGTACAGAAGAGCAAGAAAAGTTGAACGTATTTTGGACGCACATGTAAACAAATTCAGGCAATGTAAGTGCGTTGCGCGTAATACGCACTGAACGCGTTGCCATCTATCGTTTCGCCCATTGTTTGCCCATACTTTTCAAAAACACGGTTATACGTGCACGACTGGCGGTTTATGCGTTTATAATGTGAATCCACCCTGAGCTGAAGTTCACCCTCACCGGCGAAAGAAAGACAGGCGACACTAAGGCCGAGTTCGGGCGGCTTGTTCCCGTATGTTCACGAACAGCTCGATTTGTTGTTCGTGGGTCGGCCACTCAAACGCCGGGAACAAACAAGCGGTTATTGATGGTAGTTAATGACAAGCAACATGCAACATGGCGGCGTCCATGACTCCATGTAGGCTATGTTATTCGAGAGTTGATGTTTGGATGGGCTGAATTCTTTTCTATATAAACAGGAACATAATTAATGTTAATTTTGCAAAACTTCCCATTGTTTTTGGCTTTGAAGCCTTCTCTCTACTTTTTGCAGCTGTTCAAAAATCAAAATCTCAGGAGTTTTTCCGTGTGTTCCTGTAGAACCCTGACGAGGAGGTGGTGTTGTGATCCTGTTCTGAGAACAGTGATCTTGAGTCATGTTCCCGCCGTTCGAACGCGAGAGCAAGAAACCCGTGTCAAGAACACGCCGCCCGAACTCGACCTAAGCTTTCCAACCGGGTTCTTGCACGCGTTTGGCGTGCACGCGCCGACCATACATTCCAAACTAAATTTGTTGGGTGTACTCAGCGTGTGCTCTGCGTCCGACGCGCACAAAGTTGTTTGCCTATGCAGTGAATGCGTACCAAAGGACTGTCAATTTCACTTCAAACACGCCGTCTTTTGTTCCTCCCCGGAGCAAATACTTGGGCGTACTCTTTGGTTTCGAGAATGTCTGCCACGGGGACGCACACACGCTAAACTTTCATTTCTACTTGCGCATTTACCATTACCAAGGGAATGAGAGAAAAAGTTGTGTTTTTATAATTTCAATTTTAATTGAAGTTTTAATTTATTCCTTTAATTTCTGAATATTCGAAAATTTCGCACCAAATATTCTTTTTACCGAAAATTACCCAAAGAACCCCTAAATTTCCCTGATTTTGACAATTTTCAGGTGGACTGGAAACTCAGTGCAGAGGTGTTACTAAGACAGCAACATTACTGGGAAAAGCAGCCGAGAAGTGTTACGCAACCGAACCGCTGCAGACACCCAACGCTGTCTCTTTGTAAAGGACCATAGGAAAATGGCCCGCCCAACATGCTGTCATATTAATAACTCACTTGTGCACAGAGATTATATTAGCGCCGCGTAGCGGCGCAAGATGGGTAATTCGGCCATAAAGGTGTTATCACCATAGGCGTCATTCGAGTGTGAACGTTGATGTGTGTATGCTTGTGTGTGTGCCTGTCGCGGCGCCTGCACGTACCTGGGTGCAGTGTCCCAATTCAAGGAAAATTCTCCGCCAGGCCAAGGCGCAGAAAAAGTACCCCCAGAGATTGTTTCGAAAAGAGGGGTCTGTTTGGGCCAAGAAATGGTGGAATTGTGTCAGTATAGCCCAGGATCATCTCTGTAGATTCAGGGACACCCATCTGGGGGCAAAGCAGACAAAAATGGGATTGAAAATTAGTCAGAAGAGCCCAAAGAAGGTGAGGGATG